TAGCGATGCACCGGTGTTCGAATCTCGCAGGCGATTACTAATTTTTGTAATGAAATACGTAGTTAACAATTGTTCATAATTGACTTCCACGGTGAAGGAATAACATCGTGTAATAAAAATCAAACTCGCAAAGTTATAATTTGCATAATTACTGGTGATAGGACCTCTTGTGAGTCCGCACGGGCAGGCACCTCACCCTGCCTATTTCTGCCGTGAAGTAGTACCTTAGAACTTATATCTCAAGGTGGGTGGCGGCATTCATGTTGTAGATGTCTATGGGCTCCAGTAACCACTGAACAATAAATAGGTGGGCTATGAGCTCGTCCACCCATCTAAGCAACAAAAAAAGATAAAAAAAATGTAATATAAATTAAAAAAGAAATATATAAATAGTTAGGAGTTACATACGCTCTTAGTACCGCTACAGTATGCGTGAGAGAAAGAGAAGTCCGACAGACTGGCGCCGTAACGCGTTACGTAACGAAGCGATTTACCTTCCCATACGAAGTTAGCCCTTTAAAAAAACTGTAAAAAGCCTTTACAAACCGTAAATAACTTTAATTGCGTCTAAGGGTAGTGAAAGAACTGAAGGAAATACTGTAACGCGATAAATTAAATATTACCACTTCGCACGCCAGTTGCGATGTAAGATCTCGTCCTTATACCCGGCACTGGTGATGTCCAAGAGCATCACTGACCGATCACTAGCAGATAAGTCGGATACTCACTGTATTGTGCATCTCTGCCGATAGAAGATCACTCGCGCTGACACATCACCTTTATAGACATCGAACAATAAAATAACATAGATGAGGGTTCCGCCGTAATTGAATATAGTTCAGTTGAGATATTCTCGGGAGGTCACGGATAATATAAATATATTATGTGACATTTAATTATGCTTTATAATACAAATTTTGTTTGTTTGTAGGCTGTGTAACGCAGGGGCGTATGAGCAAAAAGCGCCTATGTCTTATCCATGTTTACCCCTACCTAATCGTTGATAGCTTTGTTAACACTAGTCCTAGCAGGAAGAGTGCTTCGCAGAATCTACCACCGGATCGGAAACGCGACCCGCTGAGAAGATTCGGCGAGAAACTCACTGGGATGTGTCTGTGGGCTAATTTGTTCGTCAAACCCGTTGCTTACGAGAAGTTTTGAACGATGATACTTCACTCATTTATACTGTAGTCTTTTACTTTTAGTACTTTTCCATATTCCTCTACTAAGCTTAGATAGGACGCTTGAAAAGCTGCGATGGCAAAAAGATTGATGCCTTTGCAATGTGGGTGTGATAGCGGATGCTCCGAATACCATGGACTGCCATGAGAACTAAGTCAATTTTAATAAAGCTAAACATCCAAATGTATGTGGCGAGCAGCCATCATACAACACAAGATATTTGACAGATGCCTGAAACTCGCTTACGACATTTTCAAGATAAGCCTGCTTATATACAAGTTCCGAACAACTACATTCGAAGCTCATTGAGTTTCTCGCCGGATCTTCTCAGTGGGTCGCGTTTCCGATCCGGTGGTAGATTCTGCGAAGCACGGCTCTTGCTAGGGTTCGTGTTAGCAACGTCGTCAGGTTTGAGCCCCGTGAGTTCACCTACTAGTTAAGGTTACGCTGATATAGCCTCTGAAGGCTCTCAGCTTAGGTAGGAAAAAAATATATTCGGACCGTCGGTCTACCGAGCAATATAACCTGCTCGGTAGAAGATCTTCATTCCTTCGTTAAAACTTCCAAGAAATACTCTCTATCATCTACCAAGACCGTATTATGAGCTTCTTCGGACACAATGTCATTGTGGTCTCCCAGACATGAATTAGAGAAGCTCATAATTTTGGGTCGCGCAGAAGGCAAGCTCGCCGTGGGCAGAACACCAGACCGATGGTCAGATCTGATTAAGAGAACGGTTGATGGTAGTCTATATGGTCCATGCCACCCATGACCGAACTCTGTGGAGGAAAGTCACATGTGGTCGCGATCCTCAACAGTGAGGGAAGAAGATGGGTGGACGAGCTCACAGCTCACCTGGTATTAAGTGGTTACTGGAGCCCGTAGACATCTACAACGTAAATTCGCCACCCAGCTAGACATATAAGTTCTAAGATAGTTACAACGGCTGCCCTACCCTTCAGACCGAAACGCATTACTGCTTCACGGCAGAAATAGGCAGGGCGGTGGGTGCCTACCCGCGCGGACTCTCAAGAGGTCCTACCACCAGTAATTACGCAAATTATATTTTTTGCGAGTTTGTTTTTTATTATACGATGTTATTCCTTCACTGTGGAAGTCAATCGTGAACATTTGTTGAATACGTATTTCATTAGAAAAATTGGTACCCGCCTGCGGGATACGAACACCGGTGCATCGCTCAACAAGAATGCACCGGACGTCTTATCCTTTAGGCCACGACGAAATACCGTAGTAATACCGAAGTCAGTTTAGAACATTACCATTGTTTTCCTGTTACTTCCATTTTCGATAGCAAAGAGGGCACGTCTTCTTATCTCTTCACAAATGTTTTGCTAATACTAAACACGGTCGGTACTAACGGTGATTCGCATTCGCGTTTATCGATTCAATGTGCTAGAGTTACTAACGACAAGCGCGTGCTCCGAACGCTAGAGCGGCTCTTTATGCTTCTCTATAGGGATGGGAAAGGGAAAACGTTTTCGGCAAAACTTGCCGTCACGAAATATCGCGAAGCAAGTTGATTAATTGAAAAAAATGTTGCAGAATGAGCCGATATCGTCGTTTTAAAATTTCTATTTTCTATTTTCTAGTTGGATTTTCTATAAAAGCGCATTTTGTTAGTTTTTTTAAACTATTATTTATTTTTTATCTTTTAGTTGAATTTCAATTATTTTTTTTAATATTGAATTGTCATCGATCCTTAATAAGTATACCAAATTTCGAGTTAATCCGACGTTTTAAAGGGGGTCAAAATCATGTTCAAAGATTCCGTTACATACTAACATACATACGTCTGAAGCTAATAAAAACGTTTTAATAATACAGTAGCACCAAAATATCGATAAAGACACTTGATACTGAGTGATATCCTGATGGTGGAAGCCAACGACATAGCAGCCCGCAGCATAGTGTTTTCGGTGAAGTTTCTTCGGCCAATTTTCGGCATTAATCCCGAATCCCGCTTACCGCTTTCGCAACCCTACTAACGCGAACAAGTCGAGCTTTGTACAAGACCAATCGGAGCGTGTGTTTTTCTTGGAAGCTTTACTTTTGCGAGAGCTTATTCTGTATTGCTTGACGAGCTTTTTGCGCGATACCGAGCATGGAATATGCTAATCAGAGCCATAGATTTCTGTATTAGCTCACCGTTGATATTAAGTGGTCATTACTTTTATTTAATTCGAAAAGGAAAGCAGTCTTTGTTTTATTTATTTACTAGCTGACCCGGCAGACTTCGCAGTGCCTTAATCGACAAATAAAAGGCCTAAACCTTTGTATAAAATAAACTTAAAACAAACAAAAGGAATCCATCCGACGGGGGACACATCAAAGGAAAAACAAAATTGTTATTTTTATCTAATCCCCGAGCATTTTCATATATATCTACCTTTTAAACCTTCTCTGGACTTGCACAAATAATTCAAGATCAAAATTAGCCAAATCGGTCCAGCCGTTCTCGACTTCTAACGAGACTAACGAACAGCAATTCATTTTTATATATGTATATAGATTTATTTGGTACAGTACAATACAATCATATCATATTTAAAAAAAACTAGCTAAAACAATAACCAAACGTGTTTCCACCATCAAAATCACATATAAGTAGAAAGTGAACAAACGAAGAAAAAAGAAGAGAATTATCATCAACAATATTATGCTAATTATTCACTTTTTCCCCCTACCTAATCGCTGTTAGCTTAAGGCTATTTCAGCTATGCATTAAGTACTATACTCAGAGCTTAGAACTCATATCTCAGGTGACAGCATTTACGTTGTAGATATCTATGGGCTCCGGTAACCATTTAACATCAGTTGGGCTCGTCCACCAACCTAGGTAATAAAAATGAAATAAAACTAGCCGGTAGGTGAGCTCACGGGTCTCTAACCTAAGGACGTTGCTAACACTAGCCCTAGGGAGAGCAGTGCTTCGCCGAATCTACCACCGGAATTATTAACAACAATATTATACTACAAACTCCCGAACTACAGTCTGACCATATGTGTCTGATGGTAATAACATTGTCAATGTTCGAGTGATGTCATGCACGGCCAGATTAGCCAATTACAAATTTTATAAATGGTTCGTTGCTAGATCGTTATTAAGGGCTATAATTATTAATTATTGTCTGAGCCTCTTGAATACACAGTCTTAAACAGTTGTTGACGTGCGTAACGTTAAGGAAACAGTTAACTTTAACTAGTTTTAGTTAAGTAAATAGTGACGTTGCGCCGACACGGTGATTCTGACCGGCGGTGCGGGTTCTGCACCAGCCGTGAGCATGACGGAGTAGATGAGGATTAAAAGAGATGAAGGATGTAACGGAGGTGAAAGATCGGGGGAATTGTTAAGGTTGGGGAGATCCTCATAGAGTTCTCGAAGGTTCAAGTATATTCTCGAATGGTTTAGTAGGTTCTCGGAGATTTAAGGAGGCTCTCTGAGGTTTGACGGAGTGACTGGTGATGTCAGAGTCTGGCGCCACGTTGTTTTTACTAATGATGACGTCAGTGTCGCTGACAATTTGTATACATGTGTAAAGTTAAAGAAACAGCTGAACTAATTTTATTTAGCTATAAATAGTGACGTTGTGCCGGCATATATCATCTATGTATATATTTAAACATATATAAGTATGTTTATCAGTCTCAGGTACCTAATTTAGGACCGAATGACCGTGCGTCATTTGTTCCCAGTTATTTATTTATTTAATCGCTTAGCACTTCACGCCTTTTCTGGCAAAATCAAAGAATCCTTTTATCAAAATCAGTTTCGTTATTATTAAAGTTTTCCTTCACAGATCAACGAAACTTAAAGCCTTCTGGCTGAGCGTGTCTGATGAGCCTCTACCCTCACTGGACTTCCTCTCGGCAGCCTTGCTCTCTGCAGAATACGAAAGGGCGTTGAGCAGAGCCCTCGCCATGCAGGAGTGCAGATTAATACCATTCTTCGGTGCCTTCCTGAGAGAACTAAGGTGAGTTGAAGGGACATTGTAACATTGACATATAGAGCCCTTGAACTGCAATACTTTAAGACAAGTATGCTTACTGGTGGACCTCTTCTGAGTCCGCACGGGTACGTACATCGCGACCAGTTGCGAAGATCCGGCGGGATACTCAGGCGGTTAAATCTAGCTATATGCCTTTAAACAGTTAAATTCGGTAGCTCCTTGCCCGGGAATCATGAGCTGGGCGACCCGGGTCATACTTTTATTTTTATTTATTTTCATTGCCCTTGTAGGCAGACAAGCATACGGCCCACCTGATGGTGAGTGGTTACCGTCGCCCATGGACTTCAGCAATGCCAGGGGCAGAGCCAAACCGCTGCCTACCGAAAATCTATATACTTCGATCAGCTAACAAGAACAGGAACTTCGGCAATCCGCACACCGTCTGCTTCTAACCGGACAAATAAAAATACTACATTCGGATATTTTGTGTGATATATATATGGAGCTGATACGTTCGGCTCCTGAAATATAATTTATATATTCGTCTACTGGATTCGTCCTTGCCTATTTATTGTTACTAGTGGTCCCCTGGTAGTCAAAATTCGAATATAATTAATTGAAATCATAAGTCTGTCGGTACACTATTATGATTCTATTGTCAAAGACTAATAATCATAAATTTCGCCAAGATTAAACTATACACAAATAATATTAAAGATAAACAATATTATGTAACCTATTCTCAATTTGACCACAGACTAAGCGATAACAAAAGTTTGACAGTAAACAAAGGGTATATAAACATGTGTGTGTGTTAAATACATGGTAGTTTTGTAATGTCGTTTTTATTGATTTAATGTATTATTAATGCATAATTTAAAAAAAAATACATATTATCATTCTGCACTCCTTCTCTATATGAACTATAAGTGTGGGAAATTTCATACTCCATCCACGCAATTTTCGTAAAAAGGGATTCAATATTTTTGCTTCACGTATTAATATATAGATAACTAGCGATCCGCCCTCGCTTCACTTCGGAAACTGTAATTTATTATTGATTTCTCCACTATTTAATGGATGTTATTATACATATAAACCTTCCTCTTCAATCACTCTATATATTAAAAAAAACCGCATCAAAATCCGTTGCGTAGTTTTAAAGATTTAAGCATACATAGGGACAGACAGATATAGGGACAGAGAAAGCGACTTTGTTTTATGCTATGTAGTGAATAAACGTTTGCAGGCAGTTTAATACAAAATAACTGGATCGTAATAATCAATCGTTTATTCTACTTCTATTTCTTGCCCTTAAACCACATTGAGTGGGATTGACGCAGAATATCCTGTTATCATTATGCATAATAAGGCATGAGATGATATCAGATTTGCCTAACGTCGAACCTCCTTGAGTTAACCTTCCAGTATCTAATGTATTGCACCGTTCCATGGGGAGGGCCTATTTCCATTTGTTCCTTCGGTATTTTTTTTGTTATAATATGATTTGCATCTTATTTACACGAAGATTTATATTTTTATATAAATACCGAAAATATCCTTATTAAAAAATATCCTCCAAATACCTTATAAAAATATAAGATGAAAATATCATGACATTTTTTCGTTGTTTTTTTGTTTTTGTTTTGTAATATTTTCAAAAGGAGGAAGATGAGAAGGTGTACAATAATAATTATTATGAAAATACAAAAAAAAAAATTGTTGTAATATATTAATAATTATAATTAAAAAGGTTCTTTAATAATTAGTAAGTAATCCCTCTCTGACAATCCACTGAACACGCAAGGGCGTAATGCTCTCTAATTACACTAGAGACCTCCGCCCGCGGTTTTGTGACACTGACAACGACGTCAATTGTCAACTGTCAGCTGTCACAACTCAGGCGGTTGCCACGCTCAAAACCTCAAAGTGCCACAGTAAAAATGTTTAACTAAACATTATTAAATGCCAATAAAATAAATAAAAAAACGGTGGTAAAAGCCGTCGTAAAATATAAAGGCGACTCGTATCATCCGCTCTATATTTATATCCAATTTTGAATTCCTCGGTCGACCGACTGCAAGTGTTATTTTTAATTACCAACGCCCGAACTGGGTTTGTGTACTCTACATTTTCAGTTTATGCGCTTGTCGAAAATGGTTGTATCGTCTCCTGGTTACATATTTTAATGGGCTCTTTCTACACGCTCGATTATTCTCAAATTTGTCTATAATCAATTTTGTCGTAATAGGTAAAATCGGATACCAAATAACTATATTAATGAAAGTAAATTTTGTGAAACATAAAAGATCGATCATTTCAGTACATTTCAGATCAGTAGATAAAATTATGATTCTTGCGTGAAAGACTAGTACTGGTAGGACCAGGACTAGTAACTGGTGGTAGGGCCTCTTGTGAGTCCGCGCGGTTAGGTACCACCACCCCGCCTATTTCTGCCGTGAAGCAGTAATGCCTTTCGGTTTGCAGGGTGGGGCCAGCCTTTGTAACTATAGTTGAGACCTTAGAACATATATCCCAAGGGGGATGGCGCATTTCGTTGTAGATGTTTATGGGCTTGAGTAACCACTTAACACCAGGTGGGCTGTGAGCTCGTCCATCCATCTAAGCAAAAAAAAAAAAAGTTTAAATATTGGCGATTTAGCTCACTGTCCAATTATTTGGCGTTGCTTATGAACGCACAAGTTTTGGAATCAGCACTTTGCCCATGCCTGGTGTGAAGCGTAGAATAGCTGTTATACTATACGAAATAAACTTTTTTATCTCCTCCAGAGAGATTTTGGCTGCAACTCCATCTCTTACCAGCACCCCAACACACAGGAGAGACTTCAAAAGGGACTCGTTGAGAGACGATAGGTGTGTACCACAACTATTTTCAGGTCACAAAATATTGGCAGTAGTTCTCGGGGTTAAATTGGTCATCACTGGCGCCTTCGGGTATCACATCAACGGTTCCCACATTGAAACATGAGATCTTTGGTAGGCAGCGACTTGGCTGTACTCCTGGCGTTGCTGGCGTCCATGACAAACGGTAACCACTTACCCTCAGTTGAACCGTAATGTATGAAGGCCCCTCAAGCCGGTACACGTAACTGCTGACGCAAAAATAGCCAATTTAGTGTGGTGCGCTTACAATACTACTTCAAGGTCCCTAGGGGTACGGAGGGCTTTCTACCTTGCACTTACGCGCAATCCAATCTACCACTAGCCACCAGTACCCTTGGAAATACTCAGAGAACGATGCTGCCTTGCCCTTAATTTATCCCTTAGTAACCTATACGATACCACACGGCCAATACTAAATTCAGAGTCACTTTCGTTTCCTTCTGAAGAACTTTCCGATTTTCAGGGGCTCATTAAAAAAAGACCCGAAAAGAGAAAGCGGGAAGCGCGCAGACCAAGGCACCGCGAATAGTTCTCCGCGGGAAAGCTGCAAAAGAGATCCCAGGCTGAACGAACAGAATCGACAAGTCGTGAGTATACTCTTTACACTAGTTCAAGGATGGCCTGCAAGGTCTGGTGACATAGCTTCCGATCGCTCTGAACATATAAGACTTCGTGGCTTTAAGAATAAGACGCTCGTATTGACAGACGCGACTGTATTACTATTACTACGCTGGCGCTATGACCCCGAAGCGGGTCTTCGCCTCTGACAATACGCATCGCCATTCTTCATAGCGCTACGGAACGCCTTGCCAGTCCTTGCCACTTGGAGCTCACGTAAATTTCCTTTCACAACGTCAGACCAGCAGTACTTAGGCCTCGTTATGGGGCTGCATCCCTCCGGTACTCTGTATACGACTGTACCGGTATTCGAATGCTTCAAGCAGATGCCAATATTCCTTATAATATACGTGCTAGACAAATGTTCACTAATGACTTCTGCGGTAAAGGAATAACATCGTGTAATAAAAAAATTATGGCTTACATAATCACTGGTGGTACGGTATCTTGTAAGTCCGCAGAGGTAGGTGCCACCACGCTGCCTTTTTCTGCCGTGAAGCCGTGAAGCAGTAATGCGTTTTGGTTTGGACGGTAAGAAAGCCGTTATACTGTAAAAAGTAAGACTCAGAAGTCAGCGAGTCGTGGGCTTAATTAAACATTACATTTACAGTATGATCAGTTGTTAGAGTACTGTTATTCAATAACTCATGTTTTTTTTAGTACATTGCGTCGTTCGATGAAGACGGCGACCAGGCTCCAGGGTGGAGGCGCGTTGGCCCCGAGGGTCTCGTGAACTTGGAGAAGGTTTACCGGACCCAGGCAGTGATGGACCACATAGCAAGCTTTCACCAGCACCACTACCTGTTGTCCAGAACCCACACGCCCGTCTTCGGAGATTACTTAAGGTTTGGAAGCACTTTGTCACTTCAGCAGCTACCTGGTAACGCTCTAATGTAGAAGTAAGCGAACCTCTCAAAGTTAGTCTTAAGTAGTTAGTCTTAGTAAAATTAAGACGACCGTCCAATTCTAGAGCAAGGTACCTCAATCCTGTTACCCTGAGTACTCTGACCCCGACCTGGACGCCTCCGATCAGTATTGCCTCCAGGACCTAGAGACAAAAACATAATACCCGGGACTTATTCATGAATTGTTCTACCCAAGGAAACGTTGAGGTCGATTTTGTTACAGTATAGAAACATTTACAAACGGAAATTGATAGGGTTTCAGTTCTCAAGGAAATCTTATCCTTTGAAACATTTTCCAGAACAGCTCTAGCATCCTGCGAGGATCCGGTCTTTTCGCAGACAGCACAGAAGACAAGCGGCTGTGACTTTGAAAACGAGGCCCTCTACGAGCTAGAAGGCGGCGGTTACAGTCCTGTTCAGCCGTTACCGCACGACCACGGAGTCACTATGTTTCCTCTGGCCCCGCAAAATGGAGAAAGAATAGATAGGCATGTATTGCAGGTAGGTCTTGAAGTGCCCACGCCCATAGAAACCGCGACTTAGCTTAATCGCAACAGAAACATCTAAGTATTAGACGATGATGATGAGGGATACGTCGTGGACACGAGTGAGAACCTCCATCCTGCTTATTTAGGCCCTGAACCAATCATGACCTCTTGCTTAAAAGACAGTCTAGTCGGCTTTCGGAGTATTAAAAAGCGGCTTATCATTAGGCCCGAAACGCAAGCCAGACTGCTTTTGAAGCATAAAAAATATGAATCTTCCATTTGACCTCTCATGAACTCTGGTGATAAATTGTCATCAAATAGGCCATCATCCGTTGCGCTCCTGCCCATTTCGCCATCAAAATCATTGTGTTTCAGTTCAAAAAGTAAGATAACCTTTAATACCACATTGAAAGATATTGAAACTTCAATATGGCTGATGATATGATGTGCATTAAAAAACAAATAAATGACGTCATTGGGTAATGGCACATCACTCAGCCTATGCAACAGATCTAAGGCCATTGCTATCGTAGCTCACAACGGGAACCACTAAACTGGACANCCATCAAAATCATTGTGTTTCAGTTCAAAAAGTAAGATAACCTTTAATACCACATTGAAAGATATTGAAACTTCAATATGGCTGATGATATGATGTGCATTAAAAAACAAATAAATGACGTCATTGGGTAATGGCACATCACTCAGCCTATGCAACAGATCTAAGGCCATTGCTATCGTAGCTCACAACGGGAACCACTAAACTGGACAGATTGGGTCGGTGCACCACCTTAGCGAGCCTTGAGTGATCTAGTTGCCTCTTCTTCTTCCGTGTCTTTTGACAGGAACGTCCATTTCGGTAATTAGCTCCAAAAATGTTTGTACTCGTCAATATGCACACGAAAGACCAGGCCTTGGATACCCTGTAGATTCTTCTCGGTGATGAAGTCTTTTCGAAAGCATCTTTAGAGATCTAGGGAACATTCCTCTTTTAAGTACTAATTTATTTTAGATTCTGCATCACGGTACCACTTGCGTGGTAGGAGATTCAGAGTGGAGCGGGAACCTAGCTCATTTGAGGTTAGAGAGAGCCTGCGCTCTACTCTCGTGGACCAGAACAAGTCATAGACCCCATAGCTGTCACGGTGAGTATAGGTTTTGGCAAGACATCTAATTTTGGAGGCCAGCGATCGACAACTGAATGAAAATCGTGAACTATCGACTTATATCTTACTACTATCTTACTGGTGGTAGGACCTCTTGTGAGTCCGCACGGGTAGGTACCACCACCCTGCCTATTTCTGACGTGAAGCAGTAATGCGTTTCGGTTTGAAGGGTGGGGTAGCTGTTGTAAATATACTGAGATCTTAGAACTCATATCTCAAAGTTAGTGGCGGCATTTACGTTGTAGATGTCTATGGGCTCCAGTAACCACTTAACACCAGGTGGGCTGTGAGCTCGTCCATCCATCTAAGCAATAAAAATAAATAAAAANACCACCCTGCCTATTTCTGACGTGAAGCAGTAATGCGTTTCGGTTTGAAGGGTGGGGTAGCTGTTGTAAATATACTGAGATCTTAGAACTCATATCTCAAAGTTAGTGGCGGCATTTACGTTGTAGATGTCTATGGGCTCCAGTAACCACTTAACACCAGGTGGGCTGTGAGCTCGTCCATCCATCTAAGCAATAAAAATAAATAAAAAAAGAGCTTAAGTGGAATGGATAAGTAGTTACTGCAGCTCGTATGTCTCAAGATGTGTAAGTTGCCATGCACCCTAAAACGCGAGGTCTATACCTCAATGCACTGTTCCTGCCTTTCAAACCGGAATGATTGCTTCGTGGTAGAAATGGGCGAACCAGTGAAACCTACCTACCCGTTTGCCTATACCTAGAGTAAAACCCTTACATCAGCCTCCAATTTCAAGGTGAAACCCCATCAGACAACGTTCAGCAATCTGAAGTCAGCTTCTCATACAACCCCGAGGAAGTCATTCCGTTGAAGTACACAGCGAATATACATGAAAACGAAGCGGGGGTGGTCGGAGAAGAAGGGTGAGTTGCCTCTCAGATCTCAACGACAAGACTACCAAACTGATACTCAATTTATTCAGGACGCTAATTACGCTCGCGACTTTTTCCATAAAAAAATGCAAATTTATAAGATCTTTAATTATTGTATAACTCAGTAAAAATAATTAAAAAATCAATAAATCATACAAATCTTTATTTGTTACAGACAAATTGATCAAATTTTATCAATTGGTTGGTTTCGGAAAATTTATAAAATCCTTCATTAAAAATAAAATATAGGATAGTTAATATGTTACTGCGATCTACAGAAGCAATGAGAAGCTAATTGAAGCGGAGTCATCTAGCGGCTGATGCCCGTAAACATTTTTGTTGAGTGCTTAAGCTGCTTATCTATAACTAATTTATGTGTAAAATCTATGAAGGGTAAGCTGCTGCCTACCGTAATAATAACCTATACGGGGCATTTCCGCCACAAAACTACTTCTTAGCTACTCTCCCCACGTCATTACGGATACTTCTGATCCACTAACGGTGCTTTTAGCTACCTCAAGCACCGGTCATTGTTCTCGTCGAACCCGTTGCTTGCAACGAAGGGCTCGACGAGTAAATTAACCCACAGACACAGCCCACTGAATTTCTCGCCGAATCTTCTCAGTGGGTCGCGTTTCCGATCCGGTGGTAGATTCGGCACGGCTCTTGCTAGGGTTTGTGTTAGTAACGTCGTCAGGTTTGAGCCCCGTGAGCTCATCTACTAGTTAAGGTTACGCTGAAATAGCCTCTCAAGGCTCTCAGCTTAGGTAGGGAAAAAAAAAGCTACTCTCCTATTTAATATTACGTGCCTTGAACAGGTTCATCGATCTCCAATGCGTGAAGGACATGAGACTGAATGGGAGACTACTAGATTCAAGAGACGCCTCGGAGCTGACCTCCTGCGCTAAAAGACACGGCCTGGACTGCTCCAGCGGACCCAACATAATCTCTCTGGTCTACGGAAGGACGTTGAGTGACAACCGCATTGTGCATTTCGTGCTTCCTACGTATTCGTATAAGTAGGTGGAACGATATTTACTATTCTTTTATTGCTTAGACGGGCGGACGAGCTCACGGCCAACTTGGTGTTAATTGGTTACTGGAGCCCATAGACATCTACAACGTAAATGCCGCCACCCACCTTGAGATATAAGTTCTAAGGTATAGTTACAACGGCTGCTCCGCCCGTCAAACCGAAACGCGTTACTGCTTCACGGGATAAATAGGCAGAATGATGGTACCTACCCGTGCGGACTCACAAGAGGTCCTACCAGCAGTAATTTTTTTATTAATTTACTTGAATTACATTTTTTTTTGCGTTAATACCTGAAGTAACTGACTCATACCGGAATCCATAGACCACACGACCTGACTGTAACGCACCTTGAGACATAAGGTCGAATGATTGGAACCTTAAAAAAACTGGCCCATCTTTCAAAGCTGACCTAGTGATGCAGTAGTTTGCGCTCTGACCGTTGTGCTGAGTGTCGTGGGTTCGATTCCGCATCTAGCAAACATTCGTGTGATGAGTTATTCGATTATGATCGTCAAGTCATACATAGCCCGCGCGCCCCCTAGGCGCAGGGATCTCATAGGAGGTTCGCCATCAAGCACGCAAAAAAAAATTTTTTTTTTATTGCCTTTGTAGGCCGACGAGCGTACGGCCCACCTGATGGTAAGTGGTTACCGTCGCCCATGGACTTCAGCAATGCCAGGAGCAGAGCCAAGCCGCTGCCTAGTGCAAAGCCGCTGCCGCCCAAAAATAAAGCATAACCTATTACTTAAACGTATTGATTTATTACCCAGTATTTAACGGTAGGCAGCTGGTTCTGCCCATGGCATCGCTGACGTGGCAATAAAAAGACCTTGCTATACTTACCAAAAAAAAGAGGGCACTTAGCATATGTTATACGAACAGCTGATTGCCTGAATTCCATCCTGGCTAAATGCCCAAATATTGGTGCAATTCCAACGTTCTATATGGAGAGAAATTTATATTTCTTCTTTGGTGTTTCATTTACCTCATCCGCTTTTCTTCGTTCTACGATTAGGATTTTATTATTACGAATATTCTTAACACCGAAATTTAATTTATCAAATAACCAAAAGGGTACATTTATAGATTATCATTAGTATCCTCTGACCGGATCACATTTATACAGGGTTTGGGCTATTGGACTTCATTCGGTGATCAGGGCCCTCATGAGCCAAGAGAAACTTGCCGACAGGAGTCTGACGTGGCTGAAAAACAAATACACGGCCTTGTACTACGAAGACGGGTGCTGTTGCGAGCCATTGGTATCAGACGCCATTCGGGTAAGTCCCCAAAACAAAGACAAGCGGTATTGTAACTCAAATAAAAGACGCGTGGTTCGACGACCCCGCGAATGTTAGCTTTAGATTGCGCGGTTTGGATATTTCAATGCCGCTTATTTGCTTGGCTTATCTAATCAGTTGAGCAAGCTATATCGTACTGGGTACACGATGAAAACTCTTGAGCAGGAAATGTGTCTTAACGCACGGATAATGCCAAGGAGAAATTCTTGAAGGTAGGTAACCTAAAATCCAATATGGAGCCTAGGGACTTCACACGTGACTTATTTTTCAATTGCCTTTGTAGGCAGACGAGCATATGGCCCACCCCGGTGAGTGTTTACCGTCGCCCATGGACTTCAGCAACGCCATGGGCAGAGCCAACTGCCGCTGTTAAGTACTCTCCACAAGCCTCGTTTGAAGAAGGACATGTCATAATGCTCGGGAAACACCGTGGAGGGGAGCCTATTCCAAAGCCGGATGGTACGTGACAAAAAATATCTCTGGAAGCGCACTGTGGATGAACGCAGTGGTTCCAGGTAGTATGGATGAACTCTACTTCGGTGGCAGGCGTTACGATGGTAAAAACGAGATGATGGAATCATCTTAAACAATTTCTCAGAGCAATCCTGGAGTCGTATCATATATTTTACCAATGCCCTATAAGTAAAATGAAACTGCTCAGGGCAGAAGTTTGTGGTATCCTCTCATCATCTGTCAAATATTGGTGTGTTCTACCTCCTCAGGTCTTCGGAGGAAGAGAGTCGGCGTACGGCAGCTCTTCCCACTCGACTCCCGTGAAAGGAACATGCTCTGATTCTCATACTGACTCCACCAGAAGTTCCGGGATTAAATTCAAGGTGATCATAACATTGATATGTTTTGGATGGATATGTACGGATTGGATTGGTACCTTTATATGGATTGGTACCTAACTGCGGGACTCGGGCTGATCTTACATTAGCTGTAACAATAGAACAGTAAAAAACTTAAATCGTACTGACATCTTCAAGGTAAGCTTCCAAGAAGCAAAACATTTCGTTGCTATTAAATTAGATGTTCTTACTGGTGGTAGGACCTCTTGTGAGTCCGCACGGGTAGGTACCACCACCCTGCCTATTTCTGCCGTTAAGCAGTAATGCGTTTCGGCTTAAAGGGTGGGCAGCCGTTGTTACTCTACTTAGAACTCATATCTCAAGGTGGGTGGCGCATTGACGTTGTAGATTGTCTATGGGCTCCAGTAACCTCCTAACATCAAGTGGGCCGTGAGCTCGTCCACCCATGTAAGCAATAAAAAAATAACTGCGAGATTCAGACTGATTTTACATTAGCTGTGTTAATAGACCAGTAACTACTCAAAGATAACTTGAATCGTGCTGATTGATATTTACAAGATAAGCTTCCAAGAAACACAACATTTCGTTGTAGTTAAGCAGTAGGCAGCGGCTTGGCTCTGCTCCTGGCATTGCTGAAGTCCATGGGTGACGGTAACCACCTACCATCAGGTGGGCCGTACGCTCGTCTGCCTACAAAGGCAACAAAAAAAAAAGGTAAATTGGATGTTAACTTCAATATTGATATTACAGAAGAACAAGTCTACGTCAGAACTGAAGAGTTCTCCAAAGAGCTACGGGTCCCACGCCTCTGGTGCGAGAAGCGAAGACGAGATCCATGGTTCTCCCAGACACAGGTAGTACCACATACGTCACTCATTAAAAAATCGGGAACTTTCACATAAAATTACTGGTGGTATTATGAGCATCTCTATCTTCTTCTTATGCCACATCATCGTGAAGGAATAACATCGTGCAATGAAAATCAAACCCGGAAAATTATAATTTGCGTAATTACTGGTGGTAGTTCCTCTTGTGAGTCCGGGCGGGTAGGTACCACCGCCCTGGCTATTTCTGCCGTGGAGCGGTAATGCGTTTCGGTTTGAAAGGTGGGGCAGCCGTTGTAACTAGGTATACTGAGACTCATAAGCTAGACCGGCGAGAGAGAGATGGGCAGACTTTTCATGATGCGCATGCATGCGACGTCACGCCGCGCGCTTATTCACAAACACAACACAAGCGCAACGTATGAATGTGTTGAACGCGAGCTACATGGTAGGCGGAGTGGGGTGTTAGGTTTTATTTTCGTTACGGAATTTCTTGATTCGGTCGCCGCGCTCAAAGCCCGCGATAAAAGCTATGCAATAGCTTAAAATGTCGATGTTTTTAATTGAATTTCAATTCAGTTTACCCCGTTCAAATAACCTGAAGAAGCTTTTTTATTTATTACGAGATTTCTCCAAATTATAAACAGGATATGGCTCTCCGGTAAAGTTGCAAAAATGTCGCCTAAACCAAATAACCTTAAACCCCTCGCTATCCTCATTGTTATCTTTCAGCATGTATTCTACGATGAGCTACCACCACCCCTGCCCCCCACGACACAACAGCTTGACAATGGCTTCGTCCAGCATTGCGACTAGCTCCCCAAACAGGAGTAGGTAAGATCACTAGGACAATTTTTTTAACTATTATTTACATAAATACATTTGAAGTCGTCGTGGCCTAAAGGATAAGACGTCCGGTGCATTCGTATGTAGCGATGCACCGGTGTTCGAATCCCGCAGGCGGGTGCCGATTTTTCTAATGAAATACGTACTTAATGAATGTTCACGATTGACTTCCACGACGAAGAAATAACATCGTGTAATAATGATCAAACAAACAAAATTATAATTTGCGTAATTACTGGTGGTAGGACGTCGTGTGAGTCTGCACAGGTAGATACCACCACCCTGCCAATTTCTGCCGTGAGGTAGGTGGCGGCAATGTAAATACATTGTAGATGTCTATGGGCTCCGGTAACGATCTGTAAAAGCGAACAAAATTATCAGCTACACCATTATCAACTATTGTCCAACAAAATTATTAATTCCCTCACTAGAAACTGTGTGACTATGATAAAATGCACGTCCTGCTAGTGAGGCCACGCACGTTCGTATTCCGCACACCAAAATCGATAGGGATAAACTCTATAAGGGTTTGCCGATATTGGTAGCATCTCCTACCAACTGAGTTTCTCGCCGGCTATTTTAATATAATTTATTATAACTAGCTGACCCGGCAAACGTTGTTTTGCCATATATAAGATTTCTAGGGAATTTCTAGTATAGAAAAAAAAACTAACTTATTGTAAGTGTGTAAGGATGTGGTGAATGAGTGAAAGAGGCATGTAGCGCTGTGAACGATGAGGGAATATAAAAATAACAAAATCTCATTCAACCACATAATGCCTGATTATAACAAAAAAAAATCCTGTCCAATAAAAAAATAAATGTTAGGGGTGGACAACCCTTATCACTTAGGGGTATGAAAAATAGATAGTAGCCGATTCTCAGACCTACTAGAACCGTATATAAAATTTCATAAAAATCGGTCAAACCGTTCCAGAGGAATATGGTAACTAACTTATAGCTTTGTTTCAGCTTACGAAGAATAGAGAACAGTGAACGTTTTTGGGAGAATCTGAAGCACCTTCGGGCCGGATCCGTCGGCTACGACACTCAGCTGGACTTCATGGGCTTCGTGGCTCTGTTCAGAAGCTTCAGGTAGAGCTTTCGACTTATTTTCGATTCTAGTTAACTGTCTTTATTCCTTTTTGCCACGTACCATCCGGCTATCGAATGAGCTCCCCTCCACGGTGTTTCCCGAGCGCTATGACATGTCCTTCTTCAAACGAGGCTTGTGGAGAGTATTAAGCAGTAGACAGCGGCTTGGCTCTCCCCCTGGCATTGCTGAAGTCCATGGGCGACGGTAACCACTCACCATCAGGTGGGCCGTATGCTAGTCTGCCTACAAGGGCAATAAAAAAAAAGGAAAAGTCTGAGTCAAAATGATACCGCTGTCTCTTGTGGAGCACGGGACCAAGAAATTTTGGAGTAAATTAGAACAGGGAGGTGCTAGTCTTTCTTTGGGCTCAAACCGGCAATACCATGCTTATCCGGGACGCTGTCAATCGCTATAAAGATAGCTTGTAAAGATAGAGGTCATAGTGGTCAGTAAATATTGTGGAAGGGAGCTTATTCCAGAGCAAGATGGTTTGGGAACAATGATTTCCCATAAAGTAGTACTACTATTCAAAGCTGTAGTCTGATTGGTGCAATGGTCAGAGCCCTTGACTGTTGCGTCAAGGGTCGTGGGTTCGAATCCCGCATCGGGCAAACATTCGTGTGATGACCAGGTCTGTTTGTTCTTGGTGATTATTATCTATATATACAAACGTACATAAATCAGTCTCTGGTTCTTATAGCACAGACAATCCTAAAATGGTGTCGGATGCGTTACGTGTTATTGGTTATTATTCCGGTGGTAGATTCTGCGAAGCACTGCTCTTGCTAGCTCAGTTTTAGCAATACTCCGGTTTGAGCCCCGAGAGCTTACCTACACGCCAAGGTAATGCTGACATAGTCCCTCAAGGCATCAGCACAGGTAGAAAAAAAGGCTATTATTATTTTAATTAGACATACATTTGGTTCTGTTCTGATGTCAAAGAAGATAACGGTCAATGGGTTAATCTCAAGCAAGATCTCAAAGCACTTGCTTTGGAACATATCCGATGCTAGACAGAAAGTTTTTAAGCAATCAGCGGCTTATTAAGACCCATTTTTTTATTGCCCTTGTAGGCAGACGAGCATACGGCCCATCTGATGGTGAGTGGTTACCGTCGCCCATGGACTTCAGCAATGCCAGGGGCAGAGCCAAGCCGCTGCCTACCGTTAAGTACTCTCCACAAGCCTCGTTTGAAGAAGGACATATCATATTTCAGTATGCAATCCAAGTTGATTGCGACTTGATATTCAGTAGGTCCTAACCTGTTGTGACTTGATATCCAGAGATGGGAGCAGGACTCCGCGTAGCCAAACCTATGCTTTAAGGGGATTTGGATGAGATTTTCTCAACGAAACTGGACATGTTCGTAAATTATGTCTTCATCTCTGAGCTGTTTAAGATAATCGCAAATGTTTTCCCCTCCAGCTTGGCGATGCGTTCTGAACTAAGAGAAGTCTTTGAGCAACTGGCCGTGCCAAGGCTGAACACCCAGCTCCTCGGCGAGAAGAGCAGGAGCTCACCAGAGCTGTTCCGAAACAGAGCTGTCTTTAGGACCGGTATTTCTTTTCATTTGTTCAATCAATAATAATAATAATAATTATAAAGATTTTTAATACTAACGTGTGTATGAAGCTTCTTGTAGGGAATTTTAATTTAGGATTATACGTGAAGTTAAAATATCAATTCTCAAAAAGCGCTACCTCATACTATAAAAGATGATTTACAATTATTATTTACTAATGACAAAATTTTACATATACTTAGACATTTAGGATAATTGTATTTTAATTTTTGAAGGTTTCACTTCTACCACGTGTGAATTGCACACATTTATTTTTTGTTTACAGGCCTGCTCACAAGGAACGGGTCTTTGGACTTAGAACCGCCCACCGACAAAGCTAGCAGGAAGAAAGCCTTCGATCTTTTGGCCGGTGCGGCCCTGCCAGGTAGTGGTAGTAATTCTATTTAAAACATTAACGGCTCCAGCAGTTTTTGTTGAACCCGTCACTTGCGACGAAGGGCTCGACGAGCAAATTAACCCATAGACACAGCCCACTGAGTTTCTCGCCGGATCTCCTCAGAGGGTCGCGTTTCCGATCCGGTGGTAGATTCTGCGAAGCACGGCTCTTGCTAGGGTTCGTGTTAGCAACGTCGTCAGGTTTGAGCCCCGTGAGCTCACCTACTAGTTAAAGTTACGCTAAAATAGCCTCTCAATCTCAAGTATCCATCTTTCTTGTCTAAGCTGAATAAAAAAAACAACTGAAAGTCGATAATCGAATTCTGCACATTTAAAAAAAAAACCTACCTACCTTTTGAAAAAAGTTTCACTCAAAAATCTCAAACCATGAAGGTTCTATGTCATTTCGAAGTACCTATTACAATAGAACGGCAATTTCATGCTTTAACCCCTATTATTTCGATTTTCGTACGCCATAATAATGGAAATATTATGTACCTACGGTTTATTCGTTTTCCTGTAATATTATAATGAAAACACTTAGTGAGAATATAGACACATTGCTTCTATATCCCAGTCACAATTCTAATGCAAACGAAATAATATTTCATCGAGTAATTCTCTTCGCTCGATGGAATGTAGTTCTTTTTTAATCTACCTAATTACTGGTAGCCTAAAGGGCTATTCCGACCTACTATGACCGGTATTGGCAGGTGATCTCACGGGCTCAACCTGACAAAATTACTAACACTAACCCTAGCAAGAGCAGTGTTTCGTTGAATCTACAACCTGATCGGAATCACGATCCACTAAAATCCACCGTATAAGTCAGTAGGTAGTGTCTGTGAGCTAATTTTCACGACGAACTCTTGATGGCAAGTATCAAGGCCAATACTTGGAGAGCTTACAAGCACTGAGAGTCTTTGACTACAGCGGCTCTGCGTTTCCCCGTCGCCTGAGTCAATATGTACTTAGAAGCGGCCCAAAGATCCACCTTTTTTATTTATTGCTTGCTACCACCAGTAATTACGCAAATTATAATTTTTCGGGTTTGATATTTATTACACGATGCTATTCCTTCGCCGTGGAAGTCAGTCGTGAACATTTGTTGAGTACGTATTTCGTTAGAAAAATTCGTACCCGCCGGCGGGATTCGAAAATCGGTGCATCGCTACATACGAATGCACCGGACGTCTTATCCTTTAGGCCGCGACGTCTTCAAACTTTTTATTGTCACGTTGCCCCTTATGCAGGTACCAGTCCTGATGTGAGCGGGCGTGTCCTATCGCTACCCACCCTGGGAAAGTTCTGCGAGGCCAGACAAATGGAACCGAAAACCGAGCAGCAACTGAAGGAAATAATCCAGGTATTAGACCAGCGATGGGCAAAATACGGCCCGCGGAACCATTTATTTCGGCTCGCCGAGAGTCTATCCATCCAAAATATTATAGTCAGCATTTTGGGGAGTAAAATAAAATCTGACGTTTATATATATATATATATTAATACATGAAGTAAAAACTTTGTACCCTTTTTACGAAAATTGCGTGGACGGAGGAGTATGAAAGGACAATGACCACATATGTATGGAATTCCGTCTTATGCTGTTGCACAATAAATCTTTATTTATTATAGACTACGCTTTACATATTATCGAATAAAAGTGTTCGGTTCCCTATAATTAACCGGGTTTTCAAGTAATTAGACCAAAACGGACATAACCTATAAAAAATGTTAAGCCCACAAAACAAACATATTAATCATAGTTTTCACACACCGACTTCTGCTCCTTATCAGAGGCTCAAGCATCAACATGATTACAGAATTACAGAGACTCAAGAGTTAATAAACAAAACATATAAACGTCCTGGGGTAATAAAACACTTTTAGGTACATAAAAACCTATGGCCGCTTGCTGGGACGCAGCCATAGATTATACACTTAATATACGACGCAGCCGCCGGCTCGTCTATCGACAATAATATCATATAACTTGACAGTTGCGTCTGCGTTAAACGGAACACAGAAAAAATAATTATTTTAACTTAATGATAAAATCATAATTCAATACGTTGTAAAATATAATATAATAATATAATATACCTAGCTATTTACTGTACAAGATTTTGATATCATTTTTGAGATGATTGAGTCTAAAAACTCATGCATGAGTAATCNTCTATCGACAATAATATCATATAACTTGACAGTTGCGTCTGCGTTAAACGGAACACAGAAAAAATAATTATTTTAACTTAATGATAAAATCATAATTCAATACGTTGTAAAATATAATATAATAATATAATATACCTAGCTATTTACTGTACAAGATTTTGATATCATTTTTGAGATGATTGAGTCTAAAAACTCATGCATGAGTAATCTGTCTAAATAGAGAGAACGAAACGTCATGTCATGACTTTAATACGGAAATGATGCGAACAATTGTTGATTTGCTATTAATCTTAAAATCATAATTCCGGTCCTGTGCAAAACATTTCTGTAGTGAAATTGATTGTAAAAAATGAGAAAACTATTTCAATGTTATTTTGATTCTGCAACATGCAACTTTGCTAGACGACTTTTGGTCATTCTCCTTTCCCACACTTATAGAGAATATAGAGAAGGAGTGCAGAATGTTAATATTTTATTAAACTATGCATAAAAAATGCATAAAATCCACAAAAAAAACATTACACACACTACCATGTACTATTTGATGCACACACGCATGCATACTATTTATTTATTGTCAAACTTTTGTTCTTGACGTCTGTGGTCAAATTGAGAATAGATTAAATATTATTTGTCTTTATTAATATTTTTCTATACTGTAGTCTTGGCGAAAGGACAATGGCCAAAATCAGCACCGCGTTATAATAAAACAGTATAGCCACAACACTTACTCAAAAAAAATAATATTTTTTTAGATTTTCTTAGTTCATTTGATCGAAATCGTATGTGGGGTTAACTTTATGTGTTTAATTAGTTATTTATTTGATTTTATTGTATTATTTTATGACTAAAAGCAGTGTTGCCAATTTTAAGAATCTCCCCATAATCAGTCTTTACTAATAGTGTAACGGTAGACGCTGAGTTTTAAAAATAATTTCAACTGTGTCATTTTTCGGCGTTATGAATATTTTTATTCATAATTAACATATATATATTACTATAAAAATATACACAAAATATATTACTATACTAATTAAAAACCTTTCTTTAGTTGACAAAACACTTATAGTCAGGGAAAGTTAAATTAACTGTTGGTAGCACTATACGATACGGAAAAAGATGAATTGTCAAAAGTGTCATGTCTTGTCAAGTCAAACAGAGCATTTTTTTTCTTATTGCTTAGATGGTTGGACGAGCGCACGGCCCACCTGGTGTTAAGTGGTTACTGAAGCACATAGACATCTACAACATAAATGTGCCACCCACCTTGAGATATAAGTTCTAAGGGATCAGTAAAGTTACAACGGCTGCTCCGCCCTTCAAACCGAAACGCATTACTGCTTCACGGCAGAAACAGGCAGGGCAGTGGTACCTACCCGCGTGGACTTACAAGACGTGATACCACCAGTAAAATAGTTGAAGGTTGTTTTTTTTTCCCCTTGTCCTTTTCTTTGGTACAAAAGTTATGGTCCCTGTACTTAAGATACACTTTTATTTTAGAGGCACGAACCGGACCCGTTGCTGAGGGCTGACCACTGCCTCTCCTTCGAGGGTTTCGTGAGGTTTCTAACGGACAAAGACAACTATGCCTTCGTCCCTGAGCAGAGAAGGGCTTCTAATTTCAACACGTAAGTGACTAGGGATAGGAGATCTTATGAGCACGCAAGGATCAGTACTACAACTTTTTTTTTAACGGTGGGAAATCCATTTACCCGGGTCGAGGGGGGTAACGGACCGGGTTATGTGGGACTCCGGCGCCTCCTGAGAGGAAGAAGGAGAGAAGAGAAGGACCGAGGTCCTCCACCTCCCCTCTACAGTACCGCAGTGCGCGCCTAAAATCAGTACTACCACCTGACCTACTTCTGCTGTGGAGTAATAACGCTTTTGAAGGGTGGGGCGAGTGTTTTTCTACAAAACTGTGACTTAGCTCTCGTGTGTCAAGGCTGATGGGCGCTGCCAAAGTTGTTCATGTCTTATGAGCTCCAGGTAGACCGTGACCTCGTTCATCATCACCTTGCGCTGTCCATGGACATCAAAATGGGGATCCCGCCTCCCGTATTGAGGCTCATCTATATAGCTTTACCATCATTCATTCGAAATGAGACAGTCAAGCGGAAGATAGACAGGTGTGCTTAGTGCGAGTTTTTTAACGTTCTGGATAGCGTAAAAGTTAGCTCATATTTGTATGGAATCGGATCGTTTGCCTTTGTTTGCCGCTAGGGGCACTGTTCCAACTGCATATTTATTTATTTATTTTTATTACTTAGATGGATGGACGAGCTCACAGCCCACCTGGTGTAAAGTAGTTACTGGAGCCTATAGACATCTACAACGTAAATGCGCCACCCACCTTGAGATAGGAGTTCTAAGGTCTCGAGTATAGTTACGACGGCTGCTCCACCCTTCAAACCGAAAGGCATTACTGCTTCACGGCAGAAATAGGTAGGGCGGTGGTACCTACCCGCGCGTACTCACAAGAGGTCCTACCACCAGTAAATTTAAACCACCAGCATATAAAATTGGGCTAACTTTTACGCTATCGAAAACGTTAAAAAACTCGCACTAAACACAAGGTTAGCTAGTCTATCCGTTTGCGCTTAAAACTCATCAATGAATAGGCAAGTTTGTGATTGAGTATTTGTTAGTACTGTTACCTAATTATTATTTTTTATTTTTATTGCTTAGATGGGTGGACGAGCTCACAGCCCACCTGGTGTTAAGTGGTTCCTGGAGCCCATAGACATCTACAACGTAAATGCGCCACCCACCTTGAGATATGAGTTCTAAGGTCTCAGTATAGTTACAACGGCTACCCCACCCTTCAAACCGAAACGCATTACTGTTTCACGGCAGAAATAGGCAGGGCGGTGGTACCTACCCGCGCGGACTCACAAGAGGTCCTACCACCAGTAAATTTAAACCACCAGCATATAAAATTGGGTTAACTTTTACGCTATCGAAAACGTTAAAAAACTAGCAATAAGCACAAGGTTAGCTAGTCTATGCGTGTTAAAGCTCATCAATGAATAGGCAAGTTTGTGATTGAGTATTTGTTAGTACTGTTACCTTTTTTTTTTTTTTAGAACTGTTACCTAATTAACCATTAATTCAATTATTACAACATTCAAAGTGGACTTCAGTATAGCAATTGACTTTTTCTTTGCTCCTTTGGGGGTGATGTGTTAGTTGCTTCGCTTCGAATAGAGCTGTCTCCAGAACATTCTCGATAGAACTAGAATATCCGAGAACGTTCTAAATGTTTCGAGATCTGATTTGGCTATTTGACGACAGATGGCATTATTGGCATTAGCATAACAGTATTCAACGTCAATGGTATATGTTAATACACGCGAAATACGTATTTGTTTAGATCATTATGGGATTGCAGGATTTGAATGAGCTAACTGTCTTTTGTAGCCAATGCCTCATTTCTCCAGAACATTCTCGATAGAACTAGAATATCCGAGAACTTTTTTACTGGTGGTAGGTTAGTCCGCACGGGTAGGTACCATCACCCCGCCTATTTTTGCCGTGAAGCAGTAATGCGTTTCGGTTTGAAAGGCGGGGCAGCCGTTGTAACTATACTCAGCCCTTAGAACTTATATCTCAAAGTCGGTGGCGCATTTATGTTGTAGATGTCTATGGGTTCCAGTTACCACATAACATCAGGTGGACTGTGAGCTTGTCTACCCATTTAAGCAGTAAAAATAAATAAAAACAAATTTGAACGCCGATATAGTCGTAAAGCCAGACTGGAATACCTGGTGTATTTCCATCGTCTTCTCCTTAAGAGCAAGAGATCTAAAATTCTGAACGTTGTACCGACTAAAGAGGAATTTTCCTCCAGCACTTCAAGCGAAGACGAAGGCCTGGAAAGGACCTCGAAGGACATGACGGGGCCACTAAGCCAGTACTACATAGCCAGCAGCCACAACACGTACCTTACTGGACATCAGCTGAAGGGCGAATCCTCAGTCGAGCTGTATAGTCAGGTAAGTTTTTACTGCAGATCCGCAGTCGTGTTAATGCGAAGGTCAAAACTACCGGCTACTACTAAACATCTATGGAATGAGCTCCCCTCCACGGTGTTTCCCGAGCGCTATGACATGTCCTTCTTCAAACGAGGCTTATGGAGAGTATTAAGCGGTAGGCAGCGGCTTGGCTCTGCCCCTGGCATTGCTGAAGTCCATGGGCAACGGTAATCACTCACCATCAGGTGGGCCGTGTGATCGTCTGCCTACAAGGGCAATAAAAAAAAACTACAAATTTCTATAGAAGGGATATATTTTTTTCCTTTATTGATGCACAAAACAAATTGTAATTTGTAAGCATAGAAATAATAAGTTTATAAATTTAATATAACAATCTGGATTGCAATTCAAAACAAGTGCATACAGAAAAATTGTAACAACTGAACCTTGTGTAATATATACATACACACACCCTCAGATATGTAAGTTACTAGGTAATTAAATTTAATCCAATGAATCATTAACTGGACAATATTAATTATTTGAGAAAATGTTTAACTAATTTACAATACATTTATAAAAACAATTTTCAAATATTAATATATCAAGATTAGTGTTGTTACTTGCCAACTCATTATAATGTCGCGCCATTCTAACAATGACCTTAAAGAGATGTTGTTTTTGTGAACTTCAACGACAAAAATATTAGTACAATGCGTTCTATGCGCAGTATATCTGGTATTAAAAGATATTTGAAGTTATTTACTTCTCATGATAGCGTGGATAGGGATTTCACACATCTAAATCAAAGTATCTTTGCACACAACAATTACTTCCTATTAAAGTATAAATTCTACAAATAATTAATACTCAATAATATTTAAAATAAAATGAACCAAAAACGTTTATCGATAAAACCTAATAACATTAAAATCTTCTGGACAGCACTAGTACCGCCATGTTTAGCGGCCACATGACGTCACACAGGCACGCACTTTTTTTGACGTTTTATTTCCATAGGTTTCATACTTCAGTTGTTGTCAACCTCAATTTCTGAACACGTCAGTCAGTTCGAACTTGACGTTCTATGACATAATTATGTGACGAAAATATTTAACGTAATTTTCACCGACTTACAGATTTATTTTAAAATTTGCACACGCATGTAGAATCGATGAAGTTTCAATGTCATTTTGACCTAACCTAGTATCCTGGGTAGGATCACGAAAGGATAACAACAAAAGATTTTACATTTTATTTCGACTCGCAGTGTTGCCAGCCTCCATTTCCGAACCAAAGGCGGTTCGCATTTGACATTCCACGGCATACATGTCATTAAGCAAGTTATCATCTTGTCATCTTGTAAATGTCATTAGCGAAATTCAGATTTTTCTCCAAGTGTTAATAAAGCTATTCTCTATATATAGGAGGATGGTTAAATAAAACAATTACAGTTTAATTAAAGAAATTATTTATTAAAATCTAAAATTATGCTTCAATCAAATAACTCTAGTCACAAAAGTGTTCTTAAAAGTAGATTCGGGTTACTTTCTTGCCCATACAAACGTATTCCCCTGTATCCTCCCTGACAAAAAGATCCTAAAGCAATATTTTCATACCACGCCATCTCTAGTATTGTCATGATATTTTTATAATTGAATTATAAAAAAACAGCAATATATCAAATTAGCTTTTACGCTTTTTTCATTTAACCACATTTTCATATGACAAAATAAATGTGTAATAAACAAACAAACATAGATAACAGATCTGCTCAATTTTTATGAGAAGTTTAAATCTGAATTTTGCGGGTATTTTCATTGCCAACTGAGCTTGTCTCTTTCGCACACTCCTCGTTACGTTTTGCGGAAGGGAGACGGAGATAGAATTCCCAAGACCTATTCAAATTCTAGACCCGTTTTCTACCACATGGTAAACAATTAAAAAGTTGTATATACATTTTTCATAATAGGCGAACGAGTTGACGACCTTCCTTAAGTGCAATAGCTATTTATGCCCATAGACATCACGTGGTTTGAGACACCAAATCCTATCTATATATGAGCAGTATATAGGTACTGAAATATGTTTGTCACTCAAAAAGAATTCCACAAATTTGGCTGAAGTTTCTCACAAAACTTAATAGTTTGGAATAGACCCGGATTAAGACGAGTATAACCGGTATAATAAACACGAGTGGGTAGCCGATCCGTGACGTCAGCCGATCCGTGACGTCACACTCAGACGAATCGACTGGCATTTCGCGGACCAGAGAGCGACATCAGCGCTACTCTGTATTCATTACTGATAGGTACCACCACCCTGCCTATTTCTGCCGTGAAGCAGTAATGCGTTTCGGTTTGAAGGGCGGGGCAGCCATTGTAACTATGCTGAGACATTAGAACTTATATCTCAAGGTGGATGGCGCATTTACGTTGTAGATGTCTATGGGCTCCAGTAACCACTTAACACCAGGTGGGCCATGAGCTCGTCCACTCATCTAAGCAATAAAAAAAAACAATACGCATCTTGTAACAAAGCAATCGCATTACATTCCACTACGTAATTAAAAAGCTCAAATAGGGGTCAACGAACTGTTACCAACTAAAACTACCTTCAAATTTAAAAACACATATCTTTATTACTGTTTCGCGCTTATCACTAATTGTCCAAGACATTTCGAGCTGCAAGGAAGGTAGGGACTCTGAAGAATTCTTTGAGATGATCCCATCATCCATCATCACGTTTTTACCATCGCGCATCCCGCCAGCGGAACAGGATTCGTTCATATCACCAAGAAGCATTGCGTTGATCTACAGTGCGTTTCCAAAGATACTTTCCAGCATGTACTGTACATCCGGCTTTGGAATGAGCTCCCCTCCACGGTGTTTCCCGAGCGCTATGACATGTCCTTCTTCAAACGAGGCTTGTGGAGAGTACTGATCAGTAGTCAGCAACTCGGCATCAAGTGTCTATGAGCGACAGTGACCACTCACTCTCAGATCCCCACCTGCTCGCCAGTCGACGGTGACCATAAACGATTAGGAACTCTAATGAGTGTTCCTCCTGTACCAAAATCTGGCTCTGTAGTCGTCGCTGCAGGTCAGGAAAGCTGGTGCGGTCCCGGAATGTACTATGTACCTGTGGGCAACGAATCCTCCATCAGACTTAGGATCTTGGGGGGTAGAAAGGACGACCCGCCCGACACTTTTTACTGGTGGTAGAACCTTTTGTGAGTCCGCGCGGGTAGGTACCACCACCCTGCCTATTTCTGCCGTGAAGCAGCCGTTGTAACTATGCTGAGACCTTGGAACTTATATCTCAAGGTGGGTGGCGCCTTTACGGCGTACATGTCTATGGACTCCAGTAACCACTTAACACCAGGTTGGCTGTGAGCTCGTCCACCCATCTAAGCAATAAAAATAAAAATAAACTTTCCCTCCCATAAGGATATTTTCCCAAATATCGTTGGCATGAAGGCTGTGGGGCCAAGACACCAATTCTTGTTGTTGATAAGCCGTCACATGTGATGCATGGATTCCACCTCTTCAAGTCGAGGTGCTCTCCAGTTTCAATGTTCAATGAGAGCGCTAAGCTGATCTCTTTCATGAAATCTTGGCTGACTTTTGCAAGTTTATCCTGAATGCTTTAGGGATTCAAGACAAGAGACCCAGTGCCTAAGTGACGAATTAATACAGAGTGCTCTGATATTGAGACGTTCCTTAATCATTTACTATCCGTATAACCAGGAACCTCTGCATTCATCCATATGCCTTAAACGAACTGCCCCCCACAGGGCTTCCTGGGGCATGTCTTTCAAGCGAGCATCACCGCGTCAAAGACGGTAACCGTTCACCACCTGTGACCATGAACAGCAATAAAACCGCTTGCTTACTCCAAGATTGAACATCCCACCTGATTTCTAGTCTAGTCTAGCATTCTCGCAACCTGAAAATGCTCATTATAGTTCAGTTTCCATCAGCTAATGGATTCAAAAATTGACCAAGTGCCTCGAGGTGAGACGGCATGTCGCCAGCGGCTCTGGACCCTCACCTGACGGTCCCGTTGTGACCCAGTGACATCAGCTGACACCTGCTGGCGCTCCTCGACTGCCAAGTGCAGAGTGAAGTCGTCACCTCGTCAGGGAAGAGCACGTAGTCTTCGGTGTGATTGAACACGGCCTGAGCGTAGTGGTCCTGTTTGCCTGAACAACGTAAAAGATACATTTGTGCGTCTCCCCACCCGCCTTGAGACATGAGGTCGAATACTGAATTGTACCATTGCACCACCAAAAAACCGACAGGCAGGTCTAACCACACGAGACCCACAAAAAATTATGCTAAATTATTGAAACAATTTTTTTTACTGGTTTTAACATTCCCGAACCTGCGGACCGAATGGTAAACAGTCGACGTCGCCCTAAACACGTCGTTTCGGATCCTCCCGATCCACTAACATTTAACTTATTATCGATTATGAACATAAGATGGCGGATTTTTTTCCCACTTACTTGACACTTATCGTTATATTTTAGGTAATTCATACTATAACTTTATAAACTACAGCCTATGTGTCATTCTGATGTGTAAGCTATATTATTGTAAAGTTTCATCAAAATCCATTCAATAGTTTTTGCGTCAAAGTGTAACAAACATACATCCATACGCTCTTACAAACTTTCGCGTTTATAACATTACTAGCTGTACCCGTCCGCTTCGCTGGGCATTTAAAATTAACATTATTATTTCTCACAAGGATTCTCATCATTAACGCCCCCGCAACTGGTGTAGGGAGTCCAACACTCATATAAATATTAGCCTATCCATTAAGTACATGTATTTTCTACATGGATACCAAGTTTCAAGTCAATCGGATGCACGGTTCAGTAGTTATAACGGAACATCCGTAAGAACCACTGTAGATTTATATATTAGTATAGATTAGGATTATTACCCGTCGTTCCGGCTCCCGTGTATTGGATCAGGCATCTGCTGCTGGCCAGTTCCCACAGTTTTATCGAGGAATCCATCCCAGAAGTCAGCAGATACTATAAACAACAGGCTCGAAGGTACAGCCATTACACTTTGATGGACGCCCAAAGAAATAAATCACATCGAAAATGGGTAGCAACAATTCGCACGATCGATCTCATAGCTATTCATAGACATTTTTTCGTGAAGTTCTAGATACAGACGCAAACGTAATCTCTGCATCTCGCGATTTATCACGGTGGTTGAGATTCTTCAAGACTGCGGGGTATTTAACGAAAAGTCCGCGAAATAAAATTGAACGAAAAACGCGAGAGATTGGATATTGAGAAGCTTTTTGAGTTAAATCTCACTTTTCTTTGCCAGTTGTTTTCTATAAGAGACCAGACCAGACTTCATGTTTGAATCTCTCTCTTTTTTTACATATTATTTAGGTGTTCTGTTAAATAATGACTTTTTATTTTGTTTAATAAACAAAGAAATATTTTAGTGAGCATTTTTCGCGTACCCACAATAATTGTGGGTAGTCAACGTTCCGTCAGAGTTCATTGACCGCGCGTCAATTAAACATATTACATTGCGCGTTATAATTTTTTTTGCAAAAATGTTATAATTCTCGTAGTGTTATGAACAGTCGGCGGAGTAGGTAGATTGATTTTTATACTTGCGTCATAATATTATGATATGGACATGCCATGTTATCCATAATTATTATTTTTTTAAATTGAAAAAAAATCTTTTTAGTCCTCATCGGATACAATTTCTATATTTATGAGATAAAGTAACAAAAAGCCCTGTCTAAGTTTTGTCTCATACTGACAAGCGTCATTTCTAATTCAACAGAAAGGGACAAAATACGGTGTAACTATTCTAAGGCGTTTTTGTATAAAATAAAATACTGATTTCTTTCACCTTTAACTAGCACTGGTAGCATAGACTAATATTATAATTACGTTTTTCACCCTAAACACAGATTCATGCTAATTTTCAAAATTCCGGAACTAATACATATCACAATAAGTAAATATGAAGTTCCGGTATTTTGGAGGCATATCCATATTATCCTCTACGTTTGAAGTCAACGACCTTAAGTCAGTCTACCTACTCCGACCTCTAGTTATGGATCACCGGATCCGCGTTCACAATTCGAGCTCACCTTGCTGTTCTTCGTGAAAGCGACCGAGCAGACCTCGTATCCCTCGTGAGCGTTCGTGAACGTGTTGAAACATCTATTGGACACGGTGTCCCACAGCTTTATGGAGCCGTCAGCGCTGCCGCTCGCAAAATACTTACCGTTAGGCGAGAATCTGTAGAGAAAGCACAATAAAAGCTTCATCTCCCTTGCCTGAGGAAGCTTGGGTTATAAGAAAGACTGTATAACACTCACATTTACTAGACTCCACTTAAAATAGTCCAATTTGCATTATAATCCCATGTCATTGGGATGCCATTAGTCCAAAATTAGATGCCAAAAAGTTCACAACGTAATTTACGTAAGGTAACGTAACAGAACAAAGTTGCCAAGGGATTTTTTTGGATTTACCCAACAACAAAACAATGATATTTTTTCCCCAAAATTACTTAATTAAATACTTAAACATACAAAAAAAGCGTCGGGTGCTTTTCAGGATATTATCAAGATAACCCTTCTACTCATATCTGTTCATAAAATATTTATAACTACTGATACCATGCACCCCACGCTTTTTTTTACAATAAAATCACTTTTTCTTACACTATTTTTAATTCAAATTTATTAAAATTTATTTTCTATTTCTTAGTTGGATTTTCTATAAAAGCGTATTTTGTTAATTTTTTTAAACTATTATTTATTTTTCATTTTTTATTTGAATTTAAATTTTTTAATTTTTTTTTAAATTTTGAATTGTCATCGGTCCTTAACAAGTATACCAAATTTCGAGTTAATCCGACGTTTTGAAGGGGGTCAAAATCATGTTCAAAGATTCTGTTACATACTAACATACATACGTCTGCAGCTAATAAAAGTATTAAAAACAACTATTTATTGCGACGATGCAACCAGATTTCTATGCACTCAGATACCTAACTATTAATTAACGACATTAACCATAAAAAACTGTAAAAAAATTCGAATGACAAACAAACAGATGTGCACATTTAAAATTTTATACTCACTTTATAGAATTGACGTGTTTCTTGTGATGATGAGACGGTATAGGGCAGACGAAGCACTGACTGGTAGTGACGTCATATAACCGGATGACCGGATGTGTCGTCGAGGCTATGATGTGGTCTCCGAGGGGATGAAAAGCCACGCACAGTACCGGTTCAGCGTCCTAGAGTCAGAGGACTGTGTCTACAGTAGTCGTTGTAGGCAGACGAGCATAAAGCCCACCTGATGGTGAGTGGTTACCGTCGCCCATGGACTTCAGCAATGCCAGGGGCAGAGCCAAGCCGCTGCCTATCGCTTCATACTGTCCACAAGCCTCGTTTGAAGAAGGACATGTCATAGCGCTCGGGAAACACCGTGGAGGGGAGCTCATTCCAAAGCCGGATGGTACGTGGCAAAAATATCTCTGGAAACGCACTGTGGATGAACACAGTGGCTCCAGATAGTATGGATGAACTCTACTCCGGTGGCTGGCGGTGCGATGGTAAAAACGATGGTATCATCTCGAACAATTCCTCAGAGCACTCCCCACGGATGTTCCATGTACAAAGTGCAGAGGAAACCAAAGTCCCTCCGCAGACCCAGAGGTTCCAACCAACGTGTAGTATAGGAATCTGGGCTAGATGTAAGTCAGATCAGTACAGAGCTGCAGAAGACTGCGTCTGTAGTAGTGTAGTGTAGAAATCTCGATGCATACCGTAATTGATTTAAAGGCCTTCTTCGCTGATGCTTTGGTGATGTCGAAGAGCTTGATGCAGTTATCCCTTGATGCCGACACTAAGATCTGTTCTCGGGGATGAAAATCGAGCGCTGTAATTTCATCAGTGTGGTCGTATCTGCGTAAAAATATATATTGCTTAGATGGGTGGACAAGCTCACAGCCCACCTGGTGTTAAGTGGTTACTGGAGCCTATAGAGATCTATAACGTAAATCCGCCACCCACCTTGAGATATAAGCTCTAAGGTCTCAGTATAGTTACAACGGCTGCCCCGCCCTTCAAACCGAAGCGCATTACTGATTCACGGCAGGAATAGGCGGGGTGGTGGTACTTACCCGCGCGGACTTACAAGAGGTCCTACCACCAGTAATTACGCAAATCATAATATTGCGGGTTGAATCTCCTAGTCTTGAATGTTCTTATGGCGACCTTAATCTAACAATATCGCGCGCCATCTGTGATTCCAGAGACGCAGCTTTGAGACTGACTTCTCAATATTTCTGTAGAGCCTTCAGAATTTTAATTTTATTGGAAAAATGGAAATCGGTACATTAGACTTTAAGTGGCTCTTAGCAAAGCCGCTTTAAGGTACAACTATAGTTGCCTCATCATCCAAGTTAGTAATATCGCCATCAGCTTTCCTCAGTAAGCTCCCCTGACTTTTGAGTACTTGAAGAAAGCGCCGATAGTATCTAAGATACGATTGAGCCTTGAAACCCTACCCATTAATCACAGGGTTCTGATGACTATTAAGCCTTGAATTGAAAGCCCATTACTCACAGGGTTCTGATGACGGGATGCCCCTGTTGCTCCCTCCCTTGCTCCACCTCCTCGGGAGCTGATTTCGCGAGCATCCTCTCCACATCTAAAATCTGGTAAAATGACGCCAATGCAATTCAGAATCCATCTCTTTAACCAAGTCTATGAGTATCGGATATTTTTGTTTCGATACCTATTCGTTGGTAACCTAAGGGACTATTTCAGCTACGCGCGGGTAGGTGAGCTCACGGGCTCAACCTGAAAGAGCATGCTAACACTAGCCCTAGGCAGAGCAGTGCTTCGCAGAATCTACCACCGGATCGGAAACGCGACCCACTGAGAAGATCCGGCGAGAAACTCAGTGGCCTGCATCTATAGGTTAGGGTTTCAGATCTTCACCCTCCTTTAATACGAAGTATTAAAGTTTAACGGTAGGCGGCGGCCAGGCTCTGCCCCTGGCATCACTGAAGTCCATGGGCGACGGTAACCACTCGCCATCAGGTGGGCCGTATGTTCTTCTGCCCAAAAGGGCAATAAAATAAATAAAAGAGGTTTTTAAGGTTTACCGTGACGCTCCATAGATGGCGCCACTGATTTTCTAAATCGCGTTGGGATTATGTTGCAAGATATTATTAAAAAAAACCGTGAGCACACATAGGTCCAAGCAAGCAAGTCGCTAGCGCATAGTTATATACAAATTGTGGATTTAGAATAAGATTGTAAAAAAAAATTAAGAGAGAGACAGAGAGTGAGAGAGAAGGAGAAAGAGAGACGGCATTCTTTTTTTTGCACATCAAAACAGAATTATGATTGAAAAATTAGTCAAAAAGGCAAATACTGTACTGTACTTATATTTAGTCTTTTGATTAAATTATATTGGCAATTTTTTTTTATTTCTACTTTTTCTTCTTTGTCTCCACCTTATCCCACTAGGTGGGGTCGGCACAGCAATTTTTTTCTCTTCTATTCTCTTCTATAAGCCGTCAACTCAACACTCACTCCTCTCTCTCTCTCATATCGTCATTCACACACTCCATCCATGTCTTCTTCGGTCGACCCCCTCTACCTTGCACTACCATTTCAGATATTTATTTATTATAATCGATTAGGAGAGCGTTCATTTTTGCTTACTTTTTGCTTACTTATAGCGGTAGGCAGCGGCTTGGCTCTGCCCCTGGCATTGCTGAAGTCCATGGGCGACGGTAACCACTCACCATCAGGTGGGCCGTATGCTCGTCTGCCTACAAGGGCAATAAAAAAAAAAAAATCTTTATATATTACTTTCAAATAAAATACTACTATATATATCATGAACCAAGATCCTAGTTTGTCTGTAAGTCGTTAAGCATTTTGACAGTCTCACCTTGATACTGGCATCGACACTGCCAGTAGCCACCAGCTGTCCGCAGTGACTGAAGGCTCCAGCCCGGCAAGACATCTTGTGCGAAGTCACGTATGCCGTCTCATACGTGGCCGGCTCAGGGGCCAGGGAGGAAGCGTCCATTTCGTACTCCAAGTCTTTGGGAGTTCGAGAAAAGCCATAATCGGGAACTATACTGAGACCTCAGAACTTATATCTCAAGGTGGGTGGCGCATTTACGTTGTAGATGTCTATGGGCTCCGGTAACCACTTAACACCAGGTGGGCTGTGAGCTCGTCCGCCCATCTAAGCAATAAAAAAAAAAGAAAAAGAAAAAATGATTTTTTTTACGAGCTCACGGCCCGCCTTATGTTAAGTGGTTACCGGAGTCCATAGACGTCTAAAACGTAAATACCGTCATCCACCTATTCAGTGTGTAATGATGACTAACTGCTGCAGTAGCAAAGAAACACCCGCGGAGCAATTTAGGAGGTGTTAACGAATCAACGTCACGTCATACATTGACGGCTGTGATTGGCCAGCGGTGACGTCATATCGCACGAACCAATGAGAAATCAGGAAACGCAATAGTGGCACTAATTGTCAAAATAAAAAAATAAAAATTCACGGAGAAAAAAGATGGACGCGCATATCAATTCTATTTTGTAAAATAATTAAAAATAGTGAGTATTTTAAAAAGTAAACGCATTTATTCATTTTCCTGGCTACCTCAAGATACCTCTAAGAAATAGACGCAACAGCAGGCCTTCGACGGAAGTAAAAAAAAAACTCACCAAAGCCGGTTGTGCCCAAAAGATGCTCGGCAGCATTCGATGCAGCCAGCCTATCTTTCCGGTCTGGCTCATGCTGTAGGCCCACCATCATGACATTGAGCAGCCTGTAATAAGACACGCTTGATTCATCAGCCCCAAATCTACAAGATATACTAGAAACATTATCAACTCACTAGCTAAGTAGTAAGGCTCTCTGCCATATGCCAAGAATGTGTTATGAGCTTCTTCGGACACATCATGAGGTCTCCCAGACATGAATTAGTCTGCGGGCACGAAGCTTGCGACGGCCGAGCGATGGCGACGCGGAAGCGACAAGAACAAACTAAGTTTACTGGTGATAGGACCTCTTGTGAGTCCGCGCGGGTAGATACCACCGCCCCGCCTATTTCTGCCGCGAAGCACAAATGCGTTTCGGTTTGAAGGGTGGGGCAGCCGTTGTAACTATACTTGAGACCTTAGAACTTATATCTCAAGGTAGGTGGCGCCTTTACGCTGTAGATGTCTATGGGCTCCAGTAACCGCTTAACACCAGGTGTGCTGTGAGCTCGTCCACCCATCTAAGCAATAAAGAAAAATTCCTTAGCAGTGAGAGAACGATAAAGAAGAAGATGTTATATATGAGGCAGCTAGGTCCTGTCTATTTTAGACTGTTAGTAAGTGTAGACTGATTGTTTTATCGATACCTGTCGCTGGGAGGGCACGGTGGGTCAGCGTGTACAGCTGCTGCCAACGTCGCAGCTATGGGCTGGTAGCCGTCATAGTACAATTGACTGTAAAAGAACATACAAGCTTTCACAAGTAGAACTTATGGACACTCCCAATATCATATGGGTACATTAATATATACTAGTGGTCCCGCAGTAGTCGAAATTCGACTATAATTAATTGAAATTTTCTTTATAAACATTATTATGGTTCTATTGTCAAACACTCGCCAATTTCTCCCGTGATTTCGCCAAAACTACACTATAGATAAATAGTACAGGGTGGCCCATAAGTCCTTTGAAAAGTAAAATTTGAATAAAACGAACAGGGCGCGCGTGAGCGGTGCAGGGGAAGCGGGCGGAGTAACTTCGGTTTTTGGGAATTTAGTCGCGATGGAGCGTTTTACCGGAGCGGACCGTGCGTTTTGTGTGCGCGAGTTTTATAAAAACGACAATTCGGCAACCGTTGCGCGGCGTAAATTTCGAGAACACAAAGGTTTACACAACTTTGACGACACTCCAACTCTTCAAACGATTAAGAACTGGGTTGCTAAGTTCGAGGAGACCGGTTCGACGTTAGATAAACCGCGGTTGGGTCGCCCAAGGACGTCACGTACGGAACAAAACATAGACACAGTGACACAGTCTATTCGCGAAAATCCGACACAGTCAACTCGTAAGCGCGCCAGAGCATTAAACGTATCCAGGACATCGTTACAACGGATTTTGAAGAAAGATTTACATATGCACCCTTACAAAATTCAGTTGGTTCAAGAATTAAAGGAAACTGACGGTATTCAAAGACAAAATTATGCGAATGAAATGTTGAATCGGTTTACTTCCTTCAATAACATAATGTTCTCTGACGAGGCTCATTTCCATCTTAACGGGCATGTTAGTAAACAAAATTGCCGCTATTGGAGCCCCATCAATCCAAAACTTAAGCATCAGAAGCCCTTACATAGTCCGAAAGTGACTGTTTGGGCCGCTATGTCAGCCCATGGTATCCTAGGGCCTTACTTCTTTGAGGATGGCAGAGGGCGCGCAGTTACTGTTACGTCGGAGCGATATGTGGCTATGATCGAAGAGTTTTTCATACCAGAATTGCAAAACTTTTCAGGCTTTAATGCCAGGACGTGGTTTCAACAGGATGGGGCCACTTCTCATACCTCTAACACTGCTATGCCCGTTATCCGTCAACTTTTTCCTGGCAAAGTTATCTCTAAGAGAGGAGACATTTCCTGGCCTCCACGTAGTCCAGATCTGACCCCGATGGATTTTTTTTTGTGGGCCTACCTTAAGGCTAAAGTATACGACACAAACCCGCGGTCAATTGAGGCCCTAAAAGAAAACATCCGCAGAGAAATGACAAGCATTTCAGCAGTGACGTGCCGCGCAGTCATCGACAATTTTAGACGTCGTTTGCAAGAGTGCCGTGATCGCAACGGATTACATTTAGGAGATGTTATTTTCTAAAAATAATTCCCGTTTTTTAAGCTTTTTATGTAAATAAAAATTTAATTCATAATGTAATTAGTTTTATTTTAATAATTTTTTTTTCATATCAAAGGACTTATGGGCCACCCTGTATTAAAGACAAACAATATTAATTTAGTCTGAATTTGACCACAGACTTTCAACAATAACAAAAGTTTGACAATAAACGCAGAGTATATGTGTGTGTATATGTGTTGTGTCAAATACATGATAGTGTGTGTAATGTTTTCTTTATTGATTTAATGACTTTTTTATGCATAGTTAAAAAAAATATTAGCATTCTGCACTCCTTCTCTATATTCTCTATAAGTGTGGGAAATTTCATACTCCTCCGTCCGCGCAATTTTCGTAAAAAGGGGTACAAAGTTTTTGCTTCGCGTATTATTAATATATAGATATACCTAATATTTACTAACAATCACGCCACGTTAACTGGTCCCATGCTAAGTTCGTAAAAAACCTGTGTTACAGGTACCAGATAATGGAAATAAATGTAAGATTTTTAATATACACATACATATATTTAATATACATCCATAACTCTGGAAAAGACATTTTATATTTATCATACAAATATCTTCCCTTGGCGGGATTCGAACCCGCGACCCCCTCGTGTAGTGACCATTTCACTTGCCACTACACCAGACGGCCGTTCAACTGTGGGATAAACACGAAGGAAGGATCTTCTATTGGACAGTGTGATTGCTCAGTAAGCTGATGGTCTAAATATTGTTCTTCAAAACTTGTATATGTATATGTAAGCTTATCTTGAAAATGTCGTAAGCGAGATTCAGGAATCTGTCAAATATCTTGTGTTGTATGATGGCCACCCATCACATGTACAAATGTAATTCTGAAGGTACTTCACGCAATTAAATGCTATTATAGAAAAAAAATTAGGTCTGGCACATCAAAGTTAGAGATGCAAAAAGTTTTTGTTAAAACTTGTATTTACATACAAGTGTATATAGATAATTAAATATAATAATGTATTTCTTGTATGTGTGTGTCTTTTTAATATGTAACAGGGTATCATATTTCAAATTAAGCAAGTCGAGCTTAAAGCTAACCAGTGTAGTAACTTTAGCAAGCTGATAAGCGGTCCTAAGGAAACTTCCACATGTGATAATTAAATGATGCAACTTTTAAAATAATTCTTTTTTTTTTGTTTATTTAATATGTGCTTTTATATTACTGTGACGTTATGACCGATTTAGAATGTGGTTTAATCACCGAGAAGAATCTTAAAGTAAGACAGCTTGTTCTTAGTCCAAATTTATTTATATCATACACAATTTTTTTACTTATAATTAGTATGGCTTGAATTAGAGGAAACTTGTGTGCATCACTGAGGTGACATTGGTCAGGGGCCAAAGATTTCTTCATACTGTTGTTGATGAAGCACATATACTAGCTTATTCGCTTTCACCATATACATTGTTGTCGACAATGTTAAAATTTTAATCAAGATTAATAATTACAACACAATATATCAACATTAGATGCTCTGGTATTCATTATTCAACATTATAAATTTTAATTGACCTTAATTTACTGACTCTGTCTATGATGACCGAAGAAGACATCGATTGAGTGTGCGAATGACGATATGAGAGAGAGAGGAGTGAGTGTTGAGATGACGGCTGATAGAAGAGAATGGAATAGAAAAATTCAATGTGCCAACCCCACCTAATGGGATACGGTGGAGACAAAGAAGAATTGATCTTAATTTAATATTAATAGATATATTTTTTGGGATATAGCATTTTTTAGTTAGGTGAGACTCGACCTTTGGCATTATGATGTTTTATTATTTAATAATGAACTTAAGCACATGTGTTGGGTAACAAATCAATTCATTGTGCATCTGTCTTTATACAACCCGCACTTAGCAATCCTTTTATCAAAAGGAGAACAAGTACCCTCACTAATACACTACAGGCATCACACAGAGTAAGGCATTTACAACATGTATGAACTACAGTAACATTGCTATGACCTTGTCGACTTGTCTAGAATGAAAATCTATAACACTGAAAATACACGTAATGCTAATATAACAAGTTATATACGTTCCTACAAGTCCTATATAGTTCTAAACCATGTTATGGCTAGAAGCTAATACAAAAAAAAAAAATTCAAGAGTAATTTTTCTCAACGTTACATCTGAAATTGGCCTGTATGTATTGCTTTACCTATTATACATAAAAATAAGCAGTAACATTTCAGTTATTCACATATATTGTATGTTCATAGTGCATCTAATTTTCTAAATAATCTAATACAAAATTATTTCTTATGGATTTTTTTTTTTTGCTTTTAGGAATTTTTCTTTGCGTGTTAAAGTGAAACCATGGTGTAAAATTCCATGATATAAGGCTACTTGTGCCACTTAATCAATGATAAGGCAAATCAGAAAAATCCTTAAACAATAAGCATCCAAGTTAAGTTTTTGCCTTTAATTGGAAATAGGCGAGTTACATTTTTTTATCACAGAAGAGATTTTTTTTGCTTCACAAAGTAATTCTGCCAAATTTAAAAATTATCAGACATTATAACCCACTTTGGCGGTGTTTATACATTTAAGCAATTGCTAGAGTGCCGTCAATGATCTTATCTTTTATGTTATTACACTTCACAGAGATATTTCGAATACGTACATACAAAATTTTAAACTCACTTTCCGACCAAATTAGTTTTTTTTAATCTCCGTAACGCAAAAATATACGTACAAAACATTATGCAGATTGGCATCTGATGCAAATTTGAGATACTAATAATCGCTTATTTACCTTATTATCATCCGATAGAGAAGCTCGCGGTTTTTAACTACATTTTTAGTATCAATATCAACATTGTCTTCCTTCATTTTTATGAGAATTGTAATAAAGCGGCTATAATTTTAGGTTATGTTTAAGTTTTGAAAACAACTTTGATTTGACGTGCGTCTATTGAATTTAATGTCTACTATACACTGTGCGAAGCAAAAGTGATGTAATGATTAAAAAAATCGACTAAATGTTAAAATCGACTATCGCTGAATAACACGACCTACTACCTACACAAACCAAGAAGGATTGAATAACAGTAAACTAGTAAAAATATGATGCTCATTCATGTGGAAGAGACGAATCACTAATAAAAAATCAATAAATCTACGCATGCGTACAAGGCGCTGAAACTTGTGTATCTGTGACTTTCGTTATGCTTTTGAAATTAAATTTATTAACAGCGCTTATATCATATCAGTTGGTTAACTTTACTAATTACAGCAGAAGTTGTTATCCAATATATATATTTTTTTTTTTTTTTTTTTTTTTTTCTATACTTGACATAAAGGCGGACTCAATGCCATAGACTCACAAGAAGCTAATCTCTTTTAATCTCTTTTTCCATTCTTTGATTATAATTGGAGACCCTTTTGTGAAAATATAAACCTTATTGTTGATTACATTATGAAGTGGGTCTTTTGTGCTATCGTGTATGCTAGAATTATAAGCAGATTATTTATCTACACTAATTCTAATGGGGGCTTTTCTAGTATGTCAAGCTGGCTAAACATCTTGTTGATCACACCACTCCGTAAATACTTATAGCTGGATAGACAGTGAGATCATCTGCCCAATAAAAAAAGTACACTTGATACGGTCCAAAAACTGTATCGATAATAATAAGGTAATTAGGTGATTATTGCCATCTCAATTTCGCATCAGTTCGCTGTTAAAATTTGCATTCGAATTAGTTTTCTCGTAGCTGGTAGCTGGAATAGCCCCTTAGGCTATCATTAGGTAGGAGGAAAAAATGGGGGTAATTATGTTTCCAAATTCACAATAAATATGCCCTATTATGTATACGTTCTACATACACTATGAGTTCAGGTAGATGATCCCTGCTTCGTACACAGCCCATCTGTGTGCCTAGTGCGAGTTTTTAACATTCTCGATAGCGTGATAGTGAACCCAATTTTGTATGCAGTTGGAACAGTGCCCCTAGCGGCAAACGTAGGAAAACGATCCCATTCCATACAAATATGAGCTAACTTTTACGCTATGAGCACATTGACTACAAACTATTTATAACAAAATTAACTCTCACTTAAACAAATGAAATCAAAGACAATAGCAGAATCAACGTGGTCTGGATAGTAATATATGCATGTAATTTAAAATAGTTTCTTATTAATAATACTAAAAAATGCCTAAATAGCAAATCGCCTGACAATGAATTTCTTTTTTTATCCTGTCAATACCAGTTTAGATTTTAGAGCGAATTTATAAAAACAATTGTATTGTACTAAAACTACGTTCAAAGACTTCGCAGCACACAAACATACCAAGCTAATGAAAACGTATTAATAAGAGATGCAGGTCAATGTGCTATCATTCGGAGGTAGCGGTCCCCAACGCTCGGCCACATGCTAATCGTTTCTTCTACCAGCGGGAGAAATAAAAAGAATTTGTATCAAATGCCAAGTTAGATGATCTTTACGTTCTTTTCAGGTGTTATTAACGGGATGCCGTTGCGTCGAGCTGGACTGCTGGGACGGTGACGATGGAAACCCCGTGATCTACCACGGCCACACGTTCACGACGAAAATTCAGTTCCGTCGAGTTGTTGAAACTATTGCGAGGTATCCAACTCTTGATAAACCATGTATTTATGTGCTTAAGCTTGGTCTGGCGTGGTACAGTCAAGTCTACCTTTGCAACCGAACCATTCTTGCATTGAACTCTGAAGAACGAAGATACCATTAAGATAATTGAGTGCTATGGCTTTATCTCCTTTGAGCATGTCTGATTTTAATGCAATACTCATTTTCGATTACATTCGTTTATTATAACAATCAATACCAGAATCTCCTGTCTTCTTGTTCGAGAACAATTCAAATAACGAAATCACAAGTAGATTTTTTATAGTCCACTATGTTTCTCACCGGATCTTCTTAGTCGCGATTCTGATTTGGTGATCGATTTTGCGAAACACTGCGCTTGTTAGGGTGGTGCTACCAACGTCCCAGGTTATAGCCCCTTTAGCTCACCTACAAGTCCAGTGAAGTTAGCATAACCCATCGAGGTTAGTAGCTAAAAGTAGGAAAAAGAAAAAAGCAGATTTAGCTATAAATGAATTTTAGTCACGCATTTTGTAATTATCAGGAGCGCGTTCGTTGCATCGCCGTACCCCCTGATCTTGAGTATTGAGAACCATTGCAGTCTCCCGCAGCAGCAAGTAATGGCTAGCACATTTGAGGTCAGTAATATTGAATTACATACACAATCACAATATTGGTGGTAGTGCTTCTTGTGAGCCCGCACGGGTGGGTGCCTAACTCTGCCTGTGAAACAGTAATGCGTTTCGATTTGAAGGGCGGGATAGCTGTTGTACTAAAAAAACAGAGACTTAGAACTAATGTCTCAAAAGGAAGGGTGGCATTGCCGTAATTGATGTCTATGGGTCTAGTGACCACTTAACACCCGGTGGACCGTGGCCACGGCCATGTCTCAAGTATGGCATCTTGCGCGCAAGAACAACTCTTGACTCCCCTCTAATTTTACCCACTTATCGTTATCTCACTTTAAACTTAGTCGAATTGATTCGACTGACTCTAATTGTCCCACATCATCCTCATCACCTACTCTTAATTTTTGTTTCGACAGTTTCGTGGGCAAGATCTAGTGCATAGATTATACACTTGATATCTAGTGGCCAGCCCGTCTAGTGTTAGGTGGTTACCGAACAGCATAAACGCCATCAGTCATAATAGTCTCAATGGCCTCAAAATTATGAGCTATATTAGTTTGAAATTTTACGTTTTAATCGAGGTACTTACTTGTTGGTGAAGATGGCATAATTATAGTAGTAGTCATTAGAAAATTTCGTACCGGCTGCGGGATTCGAACGCCGCACAGTCGTATCGCTTGATACGAATGCGCCGGGCGTCTTAACGTTTAGGCCACGACGACTTTTAACTTTTTATATAAATGATTTTTATTGAGTGCGTTTCTTTCAGGCAGTTTTCGGAGACAAACTGGTCACGTCGTTTTTATTCGAAGTCGACTATACAGACGAACCGAGACTCCCTAGTCCGGAGCGACTAAAATATAAGGTACATATTCAATTGTTTTTCTTGCTTTTTTTTAAAGGGATTTTATGACCTGGCTACCAAGACCTTTTATTATTACTATATATTTTTATGAAAAATGATAATTTATGGAGTGAAATGAAATGAGATGAAATAAGATGAAATGAAATGAAGATGATTAATTTGAGACATTAATCAACTGGGATGAAATTAAATGAAATGAGATAAGATGATAGGGTTTGAAATGTAATCTCAGTAAAATGGTAGTCATTTACTGAGATTTTTACAGTGGACTTTTTAGAGGATCTCGGGAAGTTTCGTCCAGCGGCTTTGTTTCGTTTTCCCACATTTGTGTACTTTCACAGATATTAAACAGTTCATAAAACACCGTTATTACACATTTAAACCTGAAGAAACACAAAATAAAACATATCACACAACTTCACTCCTCGCGTTCCCGCCAAAAAGCCCTTGATTTTCTCCCTCTTTCAATAATGGCCGACACGAGAAGGCTGCGTACGTTTTTATCAGGCTAACTGCGAAACGCGATCTAATATGCCTCGTTCGTATCTCCATACGGTTGTATACCAGAGACCTTAACTTTTTTATCCTGCACAAACTGTTACTGTAATTTAAATTATTTTAAGAAAGAGATGAATATACATTTAGTAAAAAAAGTATCGGGAATTGCTTTTTTGTTTATGGTTTTAAACTTTTTTGTTATTGTTAGATTGGCACAATTGTTTTCTATTTTGGCGCGGAACTCGAGTGATGTTTTTTAGTTGTAATACCGTAAAATGGGGCGATTAGGGACAAATTCCAACTTTATGAGCAATTTTAAGGTAGTTGTTGATGTATTTATTGCTATATCAGGATCAAAATGATTGAGTCTTGGGGGCATCTTTGTTGTCTAATTTAAAATTATGCAATTAGCATTCCAGTTTAAGCAAAAAATGCAAAAATAGGTGTAATCCCTATTTACCAGAAAATTGCGGTTAATTGGGACGAATAAGAAATTTGCTAGGGTTGGCACTACTTTTATTTTTATATATAGTTTTAATTTATTTATTTATTTATTTGCACCAACAAAGTGATCATCAATAAAAAAAATTGAAAAACTGACAAAAGTACATGGCAGACATCACCTCAATTATAGGTGCAATCGACAGTGCAGTAACAACAATATATATATATATATTTACACATAGCTAGGCTTTCTTTGAAACGGTTTATATTTCTCCGTTCTTGGTAAGTACTTAGGGGCTAATATTTCTATCTGGGTTAAGAGATTAGGTGTGTTGGTTATTCCATGGATTAATCAGATGAATACCCCCACTCTGAACAAATATTAAATATTTTATTATGTATTACTTAGACATTTTTGTCCACCTTGAGATTTTATTGATCTTGTTACATGTCTCTGCAAAATCGACTTACTTATATTAAATTGCTTATCTATTTCAACTAAGGACTTATTCCCAATTTCGCTTCAATAAACCAGATTTTTATCAACAAATTTAAAAAATATTGTTATAACTACATAGACAACCCTACAAACCTGTACCTATTTATACTTAGGTCGTTTCCATTTCACGTATTCTCATCCCAATTGACCCCTTTTTCGTTGTTATTTGTACCTAAGACGTCCCCAATATCCCCAAAAACAACAGATTTTTACATGTATTTTTATTTAATCAAATACATTAAAACCAATAACAACTGAGACTTACCTTTAATATATATGCTGGTTCAAACACTAAATAACGTTTATAAATCATAGTCGTCTTCTATTATTATCAAATAAATAAAAGAGAGCAAAGTTTCTAGCACTAAAATAATTACCACCACAGGAAGTTAATTTGAAACGCGATTTTTTATAAGTTAGCAGCTATTATCATGCATATTCAGAGTTGTTTTGTGAACTTTCAACATCCTACTATTAAACTACAAAAAAATGGAAGATTTTGCAACGAATATAAAACTTATATTGAGCGTCGAAAGATTTTCCGGGTTTTTTCCCGATTCGCCTTTCAATCCCTAATCGCCCCATTTTACCGGTACTATCTTAACTGCGATTTTCATAATAGAGCAAAACATCGAAAAAAGTTTGTTTTAAATTTTACATAAGCAATGGAATTTCGTGTATGGAGTGAATGAAAATATTACAGAAGGCTCACGGTGAATCGATTTTATCAAAAACACGTGGTACAAAAGCGGTCGAGATATGAAGAAAGATTTTATCGTGGGGCGAAATCCAAGAATTTTCTTTTCTCAAATATGTCCTTTTTCGTCGACATTGTTCTCATAAACGCAACATAGCGTTCAAATAATATCCTTTATTCATCGTTGGACTTTTCGGGAATAATTTAGAGTGCACAGCACCGCTATAGTCAAATAAAACAGTCAGTTGCAGACGCGTTTTAGAAGTCGTTCTGGCCTAAAGGATAAGACGTCCGGTGCATTCGTGTTGAACCGATGCACCGGTGTTGGAATCCCGCAGGCGGGTACCAATTTTCCTAATGAAATACGTACTTAACAAATGTTTGCGATTGACTTCCACAGTGAAAGAATAACATCGTGTAATAAAAATCAAACCCGCAAAATTATAATTTGCCTAATTACTGGTGGTAGGACCTCTTGTGAGTCCGCACGGGTAGGCACCACTGCCCTGCCTATTTCTGTCGTGAAGCAGTAATGCTTTTCGATTTGAAGGCATGGCTGCCACATGAGTACAATAGCTGCCACACGCCATCTAATATATAAAATTCTCGTGTCACAGTTTTCGTTGCCATACTCCTCCGAAACGGCTTGACCGATTTTGATGAAATTTTTTGTGCTTATCCGGTATCTATGAGAATCGGCCAACATCTATTTTTCACCCCCCTAAATGTTAGGGGTAGTCAACCACAAATTTTTTTTTTTTAATTTTTAGACAAAATTTTTAATTTCTATTTTTTTATGATACAACATACAAAAATACATACAATCCTCAATTTTCACCCTTCTACGATCAACCCTTATTTTTTAATAGCCATTTTAGTAATTTAATCATTTTTCCTCTCCGGTCGAAAACTGATCAATCGTCATTTAATTAGTTATCCCCGCCAGATGTCTACAGGTGTCACTTCTGACCCAGTAAACAGCACGGAGTAGGGATGTTATCTCTACAGTTTTCGGCTATTATTAGTGTTTATGCTTCAAGCGTAGTAGTTAAACATTTTTAGTTCATCGCCTTGCATGTCAGATGGAAAAAGTACAAAAAAATTCCCTGAAGATTTCACTAACGATACAATCACAAATGTCGACGGATATCCAATATATCGTCGAAGGAATCCAGATAATGGCGGACAATCATTTATTATAAACATCAGCAACACAGACATTGATATTGACAATCGTTGGGTCGTGCCATATTCGCCCCTGCTGAGCAAAACATACAATGCTCATATTAATGTTGAGTTTTGCAGTTCTGTGAAGAGCATCAAATACATTTGCAATTATGTCCATAAAGGCAGTGACATGGCGGTGTTTAGAGTGGAAAATATGAATGTACCATGGCACACAAACATTCGCTTGAGGCGTTGAACAGGACATTGAAAGATATTAAAAACAACGACAAACTATTTGGTGGCACTCTGTTAGTCCTTTCAGGTGACTTCAGACAAACACTTCCCGTCATTCCACGTTCAACATACGCTGATGAAATCAACGCCTGCTTAAAATCATCGACATTGTGGCGTAATGTTGAAATAGTACAGCTGAAAGTAAATATGCGCGTTCAAATGCTTCAAGATCCATCCGCTGAAACATTCTCAAAACAACTCTTAGATATCGGTGATGGAAAAGTCACTATAGCTGAAACTGGATACATAAAATTAGCGAATGATTTCTGCACTATCATTGATTCGCAAGATGCTCTCATTGAACAAATATTTCCCGATGTACACACGAATTACATAAATCTCGAGTGGCTTGCAGAAAGAGCAATGTTAGCTGCAAAAAATGTGGACGTTGACATTTTAAATCTGAAGATACAACAGTTATTGCCAGGGGACTTGGTATCATATAGATCTATTGATACAGTTTGCGATGGCACTGAAGCTGTAAATTTTCCAACAGAGTTTTTGAACTCACTGGATTTGCCAGGCATGCCACCACATAACTTACAATTGAAGGTTGGATCTCCAATTATTTTGCTTCGTAATTTGAACCCGCCACGGCTACGCAACGGTACGCGATTAGTCATTAAAAAAATAATGAAAAAAGTTATCGAAGGCACCATTTTAAATGGCAAGCTTCGAGGTGAAAATATATTGATACCACGAATACCTATTATACCCACAGATGTGCCAATTCAATTTAAGCGGGGTAACAAAAAATATTGTTCACGCTGCAGCATTAAGAGATTAATATTATGTAATGAATTAATTATATATATAATTATTACTTTTAATAAATTAAAACAATTAATGTTTGGTGTTTTGTTATTTTTAAACAACATTCCCTCATCGTTCACAGCGCTCCAGGCCTTTTTCACTCATATTCCACATCCTTATACACTTCCAATAAGTTAGTATTTTAGAAATTCTCTAGAAATCTTATATATGGCAAGACACCGTTTGCCGGGTCAGCTAGTTGTACTATAAGAATTGAGACAATTGACATCAGCTACATTCCGAATCAGTTACAGAACTGTCGTATTCGTAATAATACCAATGCATTATTTACGCGTTGCTGAGTCATCCGTGACCATAGGACACCACAGTTAATTGCAGTCACTTTTTTTTTTCAAATAAGCCACGATCCATAAACATTGACATTTTTAGCTGTTGACTTCAGTTCGATTAATAGATGCGACGTAAAATCCCATTGTTTTCCATTTCAACCAGGTCCTCATCAAGAATAAGAAGCTGCTGCCATTCGAATCGAGTCCCACAGTAGGCTTGGGGGCCAGCTCATCCCAGGGCTACGGGGGCGTGCTGACCACCCCCAGCAGGTGCGTCTTTGAAGTGTTTTTTTAGTAGGCAGCCGTTTTTTTTTTTTATTACTTAGGTGGGTGGACGAGCTCACAGCCCACCTGGTGTTAAGTGGTTACCGGAGCCCATAGACATCTACAACGAAAATGCGCCACCCACCTTGAGATATAAGTTCTAAGGTCTCAAGTATAGTTACAACGGCAGCCCCACCCTTCAAATCGAAACGCATTACTGCTTCACGGCAGAAATAGGCAGGGTGGTGGTACCTACCCGTGCGGACTCACAAGAGGTCCTACCACGAGTAAAGTACCACCAGTTTGCGTACGTTTTCCGCTAAGGGCGCTGTTCTAACTGTATACAAAATTGGGCTAACTTTCACGCTATCGAGGACGTTAAAAAACTCGCACTAAGTCGCACTGAACTGTCCATAGTGCGAGGACGAATGAGAAGCCAGCCACCGCGTCACTACCAGATAGCAACCGGACCAGTTCCGGAGTCTCCCAGCAGTCAGGAAGCTCGCTGACCGAATACTTCTCCGACGAAGACTACGAGGAAGACGACGACGATATCGATGGTAAAATAGAAGCTGCAAAGTTTGCGTGACCGGCTATTGATATAGGCAGTTGATTACGATATGGCGGAGTTTAGGTATTAGCTTCAGACGTATGTATGTTTGTAACGGAATCTTTGAACATGATTTTGACCCCCTTAAAAACGTCGATTAACTCAAAATTTGGTATACTTATTAAGGACTGATGATAATTCAATATTAAAAAAAAAATTGAAAAAATTGAAATTCAACTAAAAAATGAAAAATAAGTAATAGTTTAAAAAAAAAAACTAACAAAATACGCTTTTATAGAAAATTCAACGAAGAAATAGAAAATAAATTTTAATAAATTTGAATTAAAAAAATAGTGTTAGAAAAAATGATTTTATTGTAAAAAAAGCGTGGGGTGAATGGTATCAGTGGTTATGAATATTTTATGAACAGATATGAGTACAAGGGTTATTTTGATAATATCCTGAAAAGCAACCCACTTTTTTTCTCCTCCAATAAACTCATTTTTTCTTACACTATTTTTAATTCAAACAATTTAATAAAAAAACTTTAATTAATCTTAGTTAGTTAAATAGTGACGTTGCGCCCATATATACAATTAAAATTCAAGATTACCATCGTATAGTTGTAACAATTAATAGACTAGTTAATGCCGTCTATATTTTTGATGCAATAGCCGGGTTCCGGCTGGATATGCCCCTTTGAAGGACATCTTGTATAATTAAAGCTACCCGCGTTTTTTACAGTATACACTAGAGATGAAACGGATATCCGGTAACTATCCGGTATCCGGCCTATCCGACCATGTTTTCACTATCCGGTTGGATACCGGATAGTAAAATTTATGAAAATCTATAGGCCATACAAAAGGCAAATAATACCACAATAGGTTATGGACAACTTTTATTTTTAAACAATCGCACGTCAAAAGTGGTTGTTTTATTATTTAGTTTGTTTGATACTCAAAATTAACAAGTGGCAAATCGTGGTGAATTAATACCAAATTGTCATCGTACCGAGTCGTCGCGATCTCCGCTCACGTGCGACAATACCCGAACGCGCACGAATATTTCCGAAAGGGCCGAATATACGGTATCCGGTATCCGACCAAACCACTATCCGTTTCATCTCTAGTATATTTCTAAAAGGGCCGAATATTCGGTATCTGGTATCCGGCCAAACCACTATCCGTTTCATCTCTAGTATACACAATAGTTATAACCTATTTAGAGCTATAAAATAGAATGAATGTAAAAGAAAAAACTTTTTAAATTCGACCAGAGAAAGAGCTCCACAAGATCCTAAATTCGATGGAAGATAAGAGCGGTAGGACGTCTCTCTCGTTCTACCAGGGCTTCCGTAGGAGCGAGGGGGACGGAGAATCTTCAAGCGTCAAACATTCGACCAGGAAGAGAAGCAATCAGATCGCCCGGGAACTTAGTGATATGGTCATCTACGTTCAGGTGTGGTCTATTGATTTAAACAATAACTTTGATAAGAACCATATTTTGACATGAGCAATATTTTTTTATGTTTTTTATTTATTAGATGCGTGGACGAGCTCACAGCCCACCTGGTGTTAAGTGGTTACCGGAGCCCGTGGACATCTACAACGTAAATACCGCCACCCACCTTGAGATACAAGTTCTAAGGTCTCAGTATAGTTACAACGGCTGCCCCGCCCTGCAAACCGAAACGCTTCACGGCAGAAATAGGCAGGGTGGTGGTACCTACCCGTGCGGACGTGCTTTTATTCCGGTATTTTATTGTCATTACATTATTTCCGACGTTTTGAATACTACTTCACAGTTCTCATGATGACGGATAACTTAAGTGTCATCCTTTTATTTATTATTACTGCAATTGTAAGCTGATTAGCATAAATCTGGTCTGATACGAAGTGGTTACCGTCGCTTCGGAATGTTAGCAATGTCAGAGACCAGTCTACCGCCGATAATTCTTCAGAAACCTCGTTCGAAGAAGGACATGTCGTAGCGAATTCCGGTCACCGTCCTCGTCGAACCCGTCGCTTGCGACGAAGGGCTCGACGAACGAATTAACCCATAGACACAGTCCACTGAGTTTCTCGCCGAATCTTCTCAGTGGGTCGCGTTTCCGATCCGTTGGTAAATTCTGCGAAGCACTGCTGTTGCTATGGCTAGTGCTAGCAACACTCCGGTTTGAGCCCCATGAGTTCACCTACACGTTAGGGTGAAGCTGAAATAGCCTCTCAAGGCTATCAGTATAGGTAGGTATTTTTTTTTATAGCGAATACCGTAGAGGGGAGCTCATTCCAATGCCACTCTGCTCCCGGTGTGGCCGGGACGATGATCAACCTGATCCGTGACCAATAACCAAATAGGAACACGTTCCTCAGGCGATCAAGTTCCGCGGCTTGAATCCTCTATCACCGAAGAGTTCCATCAGACAGCCCAAGTCCAAGGAGACGGCTCCAAGCAGCTTCGAGTCCTCCGAAAGCAGCGACAGCACCAGCGCGGTAAGATTTTATATTCCCATCAAGTATCTATCATAGGATCGTGCTGACGACATACTTCATGATAAGTTCCATTGGGTTGTCGGACTATCGAGCGATTTCGTCAGCTCGGTGAAGGATCTTCCCTTGGTCGTCATCCTCGCGTCATTTCCTCACTGCTGAGGATCGTGACCATCATGCTTCATCAGGCAGGTTCATCACCAGTTATTCTAATGAAATACGTACTCAACAAATGTCCACGATTAACTTCCACGCTGAAGGAATAACATCGTGTAATAAAAATCAAATACCCGCAAAATTATAATTTGTGTAATTACTGGTGGTGGGACCTCTTGTGAGTTCGCACGGGTAGGTACCACCGCTCTGCCTATTTCTGCCGTGAAGCAGTAATGCGTTTCGGTTTGAAGGGCGGGGCAGCCGTTGTAACTATACTGAGACCTTAGAACTTATATCTCAAGGTGGGTGGCGCATTTACGTTGTAGATGTCTATGGGGTCCGGTAACCACTTAACACCAGATGGGCTGTGAGCTCGTCCACCCATCTTAAGAAATAAAAAAAATAAACAGTTATTTCTTTCTTTTTCTCTGTTATGTAGCCCCTTCCTGGGTTAAAGGGTGGAGGATCCTTTTCCATCTTTCCCTGTCCTTGGCCAAATGCATCCGACTTGTTCCAGCTGTCTTTATTTATATCATCGTCGTCTTAATCGCCAGCAAATAGCTCAAGGCACGAGGCCTCGCTGCCTCAACGCTCCGGCTGTCCACCACCCTTGCTACCGATGCTCCTCAGTCAACGAAGCCATCGGGAAGAAGATATGCAGGAAGCACCCAGTAGCCCTGATCGCTCATACGGAAACGCAACTCGTGAGGACCTATCCAGCCGGGTGAGTACTTGGCTATTAACACGGTTTGGGTTTAGCTAAAGCAATAAAGGAGAGAGGTCCAGAGGCAAGTCTCCAGCATCCTGGTTCTAAGGCAAAGTTCCGCTGTGATCTTGTTGACGAACTATCCGACAGCAGAAGATAACATGGAGATACCTTTTAGGTAAACGATGTTAAGTCAGGAGAGTCAGTGAAGTTTGTTTGGTGCGGTAGGACCGTAAATATATCTTTGAGCTCGCTGTCTTCCCCTGACACCAGAAAACAAAAAAGTCCCACATACCTTGCGTGTCCCCTAGGCGCCGACATCTTATAGGAGATTCGGCCCCCTACCCAATAAAAAAGGAGAGTCAATTAGATACACACTAGATCCCCTAACCTGCTTTGATGGTTGGACGAGCTCACAGCCCACCTGGTTGTGAAATGGTTGCTGGAGCCCATAGACATCTACGACGTAAATGCGCCACCCACCTTGAGATATGAGTTCTAAGGTCTCAAGTATAGTTACATCGACTACCCCACCCTTCAAACCGAAACGCATTACTGCTTCACGGCAGAAATAGGCGGGGTGGTGGTCCCTTCCCCCGCGGACTCACAAGAGGTCCTACCATCAGTAATTACGCAAATTATAATTTTGCGGGTTTGATTTTTATTACACGATGTTATTCCTTCACTGTGGAAGTCAATCGTGAACATTTGTTAAGTACGTATTTCATTAGAAAAATTGGTACCCGCCTTTTTCCTCCCGCCGATTTCTTTAAGACTATATTTCCTGATGGTATCCGTTCTCAGCATACGGATAGACTCGTCCAACTTCGACCCGGTCACGTTCTGGGCTTGCGGCGTGCAGATGGTCGCTCTCAACTACCAAACCGAGGACGCCGCGATGGCCATCAACGCCGCAATGTACGAGAGCAACGGGTGCCTGGGCTACGTCAGGAAACCCATAGTCATGTGGGACCCTTCGCACATAGCCTACAGAAGGTAGGGAGATTTTTTTCCTACCTACCCTAGTAACTTCCAGGTGTTATACTATAGGTAGATTCGCCGAATTAGTAGGTGAGCTCACGGGGCTCTAACCTGGTGACGTTGCTAACACTGGTCCTAGCAAGAGCAGTGCTTCGCAGAATCTACCACCGGATTGGAAACACGGCCCACGGAGAAGATCCGGCGGGAAACTCAGTGGGCTGTGTCTATGGGCTAGTTTACTAGACGAGCACCGGGAGGATCCGAAGTGACGTGTTTAGGAATTAAAATTAGCAATTTATTTTCATAGCTTATGTGGATGGGTGAGCCACGATCGACCTGGTATAAAGTGGTTACCGAAGCCCACAGACGTCTACAGTGTAAATTCTGCCACCTACCTTAAGACAGGAGTTCTAAGGTCTTCCCCCCGCCCTTCAAACCGAAACGCATCTCTGCCTCACGGTAGAAACAGGCAGGGTGATGCTACCTACCCTCTCTTCTCTCGCTCTTATTTGCCTTTAAATAACTCTCTATTAATGTTTCAAAAACCCAAACAGACCTTTCTGATCGTTTGCGATTGGAAAGTACATCGTATTGGTCTTTTGATGTTCCTTCCACCGGATTCGAGAAGGATATTAGGCGGGTAATAATTAAGAGCCTGCCTATTTCTGCCGTGAAGCAGTAATGCGTTTCGGTTTGAAGGGCGGGGTAACAGTTGTAACTATACTGAGACCTTATAACTCGTATCTCAAGATGGCTGGCGCATTTACGTTGTAGATGTATATAGGCTCCAGTAACCACTTAACACCAGGTGGGCTGTGATTTCGTCCACCCAAGTAAGCGATCAAAAAAGGAGTAGAGAGAGTATGACCTCCTGGTTTTGTATGATGCTCCTCTCCCGGTGGATTCTAACTCAATACTTAAAAAGAGCACCAAGGCTCTGGTAAAATTTCTGAAATTGCATAACATTAGAATTTAGTTACTCATCTGTATATATATATACCTAACTGACACTATATGTTATTTTCAACTACATAATTAAATCAGAAACACAATTGTTTTAGAGTAATTAAATCAAATAATATAACGTAACCATGTACTAGCACTGTGACACTGGCTGTGAAGTATGGATTAGTTAAATCCCAAAAACACTTACGAAGAAGACTTTTCTTGTCAGATTCAATCCAATGGATAAAGAGTTCGATGGTATCCACGCGTCTCACCTGACCCTGGCGGTCATATCCGGGCAGTACGTGGCCGAAAACGTGTACTCCTTCTACAACGCCTTCGTTGAGGTGGAGATACTTGGAGTGCCCGCCGACTGCAGGAAGATCAGGACCAAAGTGGCCAGGAGGAACGCTCTGAACCCCGTCTGGAATGAAACCTTTAATTTCAAGGTGAGATCTTAGTTTTCGTTTCTTTATTAATCACTGTGGAACACACCCATATCGATCAGTCGACCTTTCAGCTGGTGCGGACAGATTTTTTCAGGTAAAAGCTCGACATCGACAAATATATACTGTCAATTGTATACAGGCGATTTTCGCAAAGTTATACATTACGTGAAGCAAAAACTGGTGGTGGACCTCTTGTGAGTCCGCACGGGTAGGTACCACCGCCCTGCCTATTTCTGCCGGGGCAGCCGTTGTACTGTAAAAACTGAGACTGATGAACTCATATCTCAAGGTGTGTGGCGGCATTCACATTGTAGACGTCTATGGGCTCCAGTAACCACTTAACACCAGGTGAGGTCGTCCACACATCTAAGCAATAAAAAAAAAATGCCCGACGCGAGAATCGAACCCGCGACCCTCGGCACGACAGTCAGGGCCGCTAACTACTACACCACCGACTCGGTCCAGCTTTAAAGTTCCCAAACACGCTTACAGATAAACTTTCCCGAGCTGGCTTTCGTTCGCTTCGAGATATACGACGCGGATACCAACTACATGTTGTCGCAACGGGTCATCCCACTGCACTGCCTCAGACCAGGGTACCGGCACGTCCGGCTGCGGTAAGTTTTTCTTTTTTATTGCTTAGATGGGTGGACGAGCTCACGGCCCACCTGGTGTGAAGGGCTACTGGAGGACATAGACATCTACGACTTAAATGCGCCATCCACCTTGAGATATGAGTTCTAAGGTCTCAAGTACAGTTACAACGGCAGCCCCACCCTTCAAACCGAAAGGCATTAATGCTTCACGGCAGAAATAGGCAGGGCAGTGGAAGCTTCCCGCGCGGACTCACAAGAGGTCCCACCACCAGTAATTACGCAAATTATAATTTTGCGGGTTTAATGGACAAACCTCGGAGAGGATACCAATTTGCCTATTCTTAGTTTTCTAATGACACTGTATACAGCAGCGTCCGCACCAAAGATCACGAGGAACTCTTACTAGCCGGGTCCAGGATAGGGTTGCCAGACGTCCCGTATTTCCTGGGACGTCCCGTATTTTAGCTTAGTTTAAAATGTCCCGGCGGAACTGACTTTGTCCCGTATTCAAACCGTACGATTATTAATTGTGTTGATTTTTATAAATATGTTAAAACTGACTTGCTCCTCGGAGAAATATCAAAAATAAATAAAGGATGTCACTAGGTATAAAATTTTGTTTTTTATTTGTCCCGGGCAAAAAACTAAATTCCCGTATTTTTTTTGTCTATTTCAGCATTTGCCCCTTATATGCTGAGAAAAAATCTGGCAACCCTAGTCCAGGAGCTCTTTGTGTTTCCATTGCTAAATCCAGATCTGTTCTGCCGCGTTTTTACTAGTTTTTAGTAATAAACTGCTTTTTAAAAAGACAATGCATCCGGGAATACCTTAGTCTGCATTTTTATATATACTGTGTCGATATTGAGGGGTTACCCGATCCTGTAGACCGAATGATAAACAGTCGACGTCACCCAAAACACATCATTACGAATCCTCCCGATCCATTAATGGTGCTTTTAGGTACCTCATGCACCGGTCACCGTCCTCGTCGAACCCGTCGCTTGCGACGAAGGGCTCGACGAGCGAATTAACCCACAGACACAGCCCGCTGAGTTTCTCGCCGAATCTTCTCAGTGGGTCGCGTTTCCGATCCGGTGGTAGATTCTGCGAAGCACTGCTCTTGCTAGGGTTTGTGTTAGCATCACTCCGGCTGTAGCCCCGTGAGCTCGCCTACTAGTTTAGGTTACGCTGAAAAAGCCTCTCAAGGCTATCATCAGCTTAAGTAGGGAAAAAAAAAGAGGGGCATGTGGAACAGAACGAACATGAGTGTGCTTAGTGCGAGCTTTTTAACTCTACTAACTAGTTGAAAAAGCGCCCCTAGCGGCAAACTTAGGCAAACGTTCCTACTCCATACAAATTTGAGTTAACTCTTACGCTATCGAGAACGTTAAAAAACTCGCTCTAAGCACACAAGATATATAAGGCTGGTTTTTTATTCCCACAGTGAACTTATTCAAAAGGCATAGCCACAGGAAAGATATTGCTTTGTTTAAATCGCTTCGCATGAAAAATTGGCAAGATTCTGATACTGGTACTAGTACCCAGTATTAGGGGAACGTAGGAGATGATAGGACAATCATTGCAGGTCCCCGACCAACCAGCCGTTAAACATGGCGTCTCTGTTCATCTTTTCCCGCTGCTCTGAGGAGCTGGCTGGAGAGAGTTGCCGGAACGATCTGGACTCCAATTCTCCCCACGAAAGACTGAAGATACATTTCATTGTGGTCTACGCGGTCTCAAGGAATGAACCTTATTCTATTCTGAAGGTGACGCAAGATACCACAGCTAATGAGGTGAGGAACTCAACCTATCTTCCTTTAATGAAAGCTAGGTAGGTAGGCAGCGGCTTGACTCTGCCCCTGGCATTGCTGACGTCCATGGGCGATGGTAACCACTCACCATCAGGTGGGCCGTATGCTCATCTGCCTACAAGTGCAATAAAAATAAATTAATAAATAAAAAGTATAACAAGCAATCTAACATAAACAAAACTCGACTGCCACGCGAGGTCAGTGCCCTATGATCTCGATAATTGCATTACATTGATGTTTTCTTAGCAACTCGTTGTCAATGATATTGGACATATGTGGCCGTTGTAACTATACTTGAGACCTTAGAACTTATATCTCAAGATGGGTGGCGCATTCACGTTGTAGATGTAACCACTTAACAACAGATGGGCTGAGAGCTCGTCTACCCATCTAAACAATAAAAAAAATTAAAAAATTGTTCCGCATGGTAAGAAAGAAGTCTGCTCTCGAATTAGTCCTAAGAACTTTAACCCTGAGGCCCGCAATGTATATTGAATAATGTATAATGTATGTATATGAACTAAACATTGACATGTACACTGACCGACATTACTGGATTTTTTGGCGGGAACGCGAGGAATGAAATTGTGTGATTTGTTTTATTTTGTCTATTTAGTGTTTCTTCAGGTTTAATTGTGTAATAACGATGGCTTATTAGCTGTTTAATATCTGTGGAAGTGCACAAATGTGGGAAAATGAAACAAAGCCGCTGGACGCAACTTCTCGGGATCCTCTAATAAGTCCACAAAAAAAAATTCAGCAAATGTCCACCATTTTACTGAGATTATATTTCATACCATAAAATCTCATCTCATTTCACTCTGTATTATAATTTTTCATAAAAATAAGAATATAAACTAAAATAAGACATGACCTAAAAGGTCTTAGTTACCAGTACATAAAATACCTTTAAAAAAAAACTGACATTACTGTTCCGATACGAAAAACAGGCAATAGCGCAGTGCTTAGCCAAGGGTGGTCTTTGCGGGTCGTCCCGGGGCAGCTACGTGCTAGTGGAGGAGTGCAGAGGAAACGCTCGCCAGCGGGTCCTGGCTCCTCACGAGAGGGTGCTGAGGGCTGGCAACTCTAGGCTACTCCTGAAACGAGTCGGTGACGACCCTAGCAGCAGGGCTTGGCTTACTAGCATACGGTGAGCGTCTGTTAGTAGTAAAAGTGTATTCTTTCTTCCCATTCGTACACTCTTGACAGAGCGGTCGTGGTCATGCATCAGTCTCTCGCGATGCGACGCCATGTGGCACGATGTTTCGCAGAGTGAGAGCAATCATTTATGTTGGAGTGAGTCACAGATTTGATGAGGTCGGTCCATCGTGTTGGAGATCGTCCGCGAGATCTTTTGCCCTCGACTTTCCCTTAGAAGTATATAGTTAGTAGCAAAAAAATTTATACCGGTAGGTACCACGACTCTGCCTATTTCTGCCGTGAAGCAGTAATGGGGAGCAGCCGTTGTTAAGCCTGAGACCTTAGAACTTATGTCGCAAAGTGGTGGAACATACGTTAGTGATGTCCATGGTCTCCAGTACCCGTTTAACACCAGACTTAAAAAGAATCTTGAAAACAAGGCTTTGAAATTATTAAACTTCAACAACTGAGATTTTAGAACTTATATCTCAAGGTGGGTGGCGCATTTACGTTGTAGATGTTTATGGGCTCCGGTAACCACTTAACACCAGGTGGGCCGTGAGCTCGTCCACACACCGAAGCAAGAAAAAATAAAAAAATAAAACTAATGTGATGAAAATTTCATAGTTGCAATCCGAATTTTTTTTGTATAAATATTTGTATATCATTATAGTGCAGTTAGAGACATACATATTGACTATGTTAATGGTTTTTGATAGACATTTTTTTTTGGTGTAAATCTTGATAATGATAATAAAATGCATATCGTAACCAAATCGAATCAAAAATGGATGAAATAAAATAAAACTCCAAGCAACAAACAAAAAATGTCCTTTCCTATGGCACGTTCCAATGGATATCCTACTGGAGGTAATATATTATATCCCTAAGGTATAAACGATCGTAGGACTCGTGCCAAAGTCGTCGTGGCCTAAAGGATAAGACGTCCGGTGCATTCGTATGTAGCGATGCACCGGTGTTCGAATCCCGCAGGCGGGTACCGATTTTTCTAATGAAATACGTACTCAACAAATGTTCACGATTGACCTCCACGGTGAAGGAATAACATTGTGTAATAAAAATCAAACCTGCAAAATTATAATTTGGGTAATTACTGGTGGTAGGACGTCTCGTGAGTCCGCACGGGTAGGTACCACCACATTGCCTATTTCTGCCGTGAAGCAGTAATCCGATTCGGCTTCAAAGGTGTGGCAGCCGTTGTAACTCTACTTGAGACCTTAGAACTTATATTTCACGGTGGCTGGCGGCATTTACGTTATAGATGTCTATGGGCTCCAGTAACCACTTAACACCAGGTCCATCCATTTAAGCATTAAAAAAAATCCTTACGCATTATCGTGAGAGATGCGTGCGCTTCTACATAATATGGTACAAGGGTCAGAAGAATTTCCAGCCCGCCATTCCCACCAGGTCAACGTCCTCGGACCGCAACAAGGATCGCTCGGTGCCTTCGGACGAGGAGTCCACTCAGGATGAGGAGCCTCGGCGCGCGGATAGCTACCTGGTCTGCGTTCACAACGTCTCGCACGAGATCCCGTACGCAATACTCAAGGTAAGAGACCGTATTCTGAATAATCCCGGTCATCGTTCTCGTCGAACCCGTCGCTTGCGACGAAGGGCTCGACGAGTAAACTAACCCACAGACACAGCCCACTGAGTTTCTCGCCGGATCTTCTCAGTGGGTCGCGTTTCCGATCCGGTGAAAGATTCTGCGAAGCACTGCTCTTGCTAGGGTTCGTGTTAGCAACGTCGTCAGGTTAGAGCCCCGTGAGCTCACCTACTAGTTAAGTCACCCCACGCTTTTTTTACAATAGAATCGTTTTTTCTCACACTATTTTTAATTAAAATTTATTAAAATTGATTTTCTATTTTTTAGTTAGATTTGTTATAAAAGCGTATTTTTTTTTTTTTTTTTAAACTACATATTATTTATTTTTCATTTTTTACTTGAATTTCAATTCTTTCAATATATTTTTTTTAAATTGAATTGCCATCGATCCTTAATAAGTATACCAAATTTAGAGTTAATCCGACGTTTTGAAGGGGGTCAAAATCATGTTCAAAGATTCCGTTACAAACATACATACGTCTGAAGCTAATAAAAATGCGTCGAAGACATGACTTAAAAGCTATAACGGTACCTTTTACTCGCCACATGACATAGTCCTGCCCATTTCTGGTACAGCTCAGGCTGTGACAGGACATATTGGGGGCCCACTTGGCATTTCTGCCGCGATCCTGTGGGCTATTGCCACATCAAGCCCCCAGTTGGGTAGTGAGAATGAATAACTTATCTGGCTTGTGAAATATAAATTAATGATGAAAATAGGTTTAAAAATATTAACTAGAATAAGATAAGTATATAAAATTAAGAAAAAGTTAAAACAGGTATTATATATATAAATATTGGTATAACTGCTATACTAAGTTTATATGGTAATAGCGACCCGCCCTCGCTTCGCTTCGGAAACTATAATTTATTATCGATTTCTCCACTATTTAATGGATGTTATTATACATATAAACCTTCCTCTTCAATCACTCTATCTATTAAAAAAACCGCATTAAAATCCGTTGCGTAGTTTTAAAGATTTAAGCATACATAGGGATATAGGGACAGAGAAAGCGACTTTGTTTTATACTATGTAGTGATTATTGCAAAACTTTATACAAAATAAATAAATATTTTCCTGGTTCCGTTATTAATCCTAAAATAAATAAACAAGGGCTCTGATTATATCAGAGGAGTATTCGCGGGCCGGGACTAAAGCGCCCGGATAAAAATTTTTTTTTTTAAATCGATTTAGTAATACTTATATGTATTTATTTTATGTATTTCATTATATATGTACGTGTATGTATATCTTTATTTTATTTATGTGTGTAACTGTGTATGTATATAGTCTGATATATTATGTATTCGTGTTTTTATTTATTATTGTTACTATTATTGTTATTGTGTATTGCATCAATAAGTAAATTGATTTGATTGTACTCTTCTACCCACCTATGTAAATCTCACCCTCTCTAAGAACGGTTAGCTGATAGATAACTCAATTGTTGAGTTATACTCGCCATTTTATAACTTTTCGCAAGTATTATTTTGTCTTAACTGTGTGTACAATAAAGAAGAAAAAACCAAAAAATTAACTGTCTATTCCTCAGGTACCTCTGGGGGCGACAGCGTCGTTTGTCGTCCACCAAGCGCTTACGAAGGCCAGATGTCAAGAGGACCCCAAAAGGTGAGGGGTTTTGCTTAACCTGTTAAAATCTGGTAGCTTTTTTTTACTGCTTACTGATCACTGGAGCCCATAGACATCTACAACGTAAATGCGCCACCCACCTTGAGATATCTATGGTCTCAAGTATAGTTACAACGGCTGCCCCACCCTTTAAACCGAAACGCATTACTGCTTCACGGCTGAAATAGGCAGGGCGGTGGTACCTACCCGCACGGACTCACAAGAAGTCCTACGTCTAGTAATTACGCAAATTATAATTTTGCGGGTTTGATTTTTATTACACGATGTTATTCCTTCACCGTGGAAGTCAATCGTGAACATTTGTCAAGTACGTATTTCATTAGAAAAATTGGTACCCGCCTGCGGGATTCGAACACCGGTGCATCGCTACACACGAATGCACCGGACGTCTTATCCTTTAGGCCACGACGACTTCAAAATCTTGGTGAAGGTTGCAGCTTGTCCAGTGTTTCCATGATTACAGCATCTTCTTCAGTCTTCACCCGCGACTTGTAGACATACACTGGTGGCAGGACCTCTTGTGAGTCCTGCGCGGGTAGGTACCACAGCCCTGCCTATTTCTGCCGTGAAGCAGTAATGCGTTTCGGTTTGAAGGGCGGAGCAGCCGTTGTAACTATACTGAGATCTTAGAACTTATATCTCAAGGTGGGCGGCGCATTTACGTTGTAGATGTCCATGGGCTCCAGTAACCACCTAACACCAGGTGGTCTGTGAGCTCCTCCACCCACCTAAGCAATAAAAAAAAAACAAATCTAATATATTTCCAAGATTTTGAATGCGGGTGTTTTTTGTATCGAATTTCATCCACGAAATCTGTATACATGACAATAAAAAATATGAGATTAAATATTAAACCTTCATCGATCCTTGACGCGTGTCAAAATTATCAAGGAATTTCGATGTCATGCAGTCGGTAAAAAATACACACAAACAAACATACATACACACCGTAATAATGAAAAGGGTGTTGAAAGAAAAGATTTTAAACCAATCCAATTAATAAAAGTCAAACACGAAGATGATTGTAAAAATTCCATTGGTGTTCTGTTTGTTTATTTATTTGTTGAATTCTATAAGTACCCACAGTTTTTGTCAATAAATGACATGGTTCCTAAAGAATGTGGATCTCCATGATGACCTGGAGCTCGACTCAGCCAGTAAGTATTTACAGTCGGCATCATTGTGCCACTTTAAGAAGGCGGCACGAGACGAAAACCCTCTTGTCGTGGCCGCTGGGAATTACACACCCAATCCTCTGGACCAAATAGTTAACAGTCGACGTCGCCCAAAACACGTTAACGGATCCTCTCGATCAGCTCTTAGATACCTCAAGCACCGGTCATCGTTCTCGTCGAACCCGTCGCTTGCGACGAAGGGCTCGACGAGTAAATTAACCCACAGACACAGCCCACTGAGTCTCTCTCCGGCTTGAGCCCCGTGAGCTCACCTACACGTCAAGGAGAAGCTGAAATAGCCTCTCAAAGCTATCAAGCATAGGTAGAAAAAAAACAAATGAATAATACCACTATAACAGTATCAATGACACTGTCAACATAGCCTAGTCCGTCAGATCTACACCAGTTTAAAGAGTATTTTATAGTTCATGTTTGTAGGTTCAATGTTTAACAAACCAAAAAAAAGCTAATAACTTCTAAAGCTTTACAAAGTTCTTTTAATGTTCATAATAGATTCGTGCTAGTTGAAGAATTGGAGTGGGGCGGGAGAGCTGGTGGTGGACCTCAGCAAAGGGCGTTAGCTGATGATGAAGTGGTATACGCAGCTCAGGTGAGTAAATATTTATCAGACGTTCTTTGAAGGGATGATAGGAGCTCTTGTGAGTCCGCGCGGGTAGGTACCACTACCCCACGTATGTCTGCCATGAAGCAGTAACCGATTTGAAGGACGGGGCAGCCGTTGTAACTATACTGAGACCTTAGAACTTATAAAGGTGCGTGGTCAATTATAGATGCCTATGGGCTCCGGTAACCACTTAACAACAGGTGGGCTGTGAGCTCGTCCAGCCATCTATGCAATAAAAAAATGAATACATTTAAATGTATATAAGTATGTTTATCAGTATCTGGGGCCCATAACACTGGGATCCTAATTTGGGGTCAAGTAACCGTGCGTGATTTGTTCCAAGCTAATTATGGTTATCGTTAGTTAATATGTGAATTGGTATTATGAAATGAGTATTTATTAAAACTTGATTCTTAATCACTGGTGGTGGTAGGACGTCTTGTGAGTCCGCATGGGTAGGTACCACCGCCCTGCCTATTTCTGCCGAGAAGCAGTAAAAACTGAGACCTTAGAACTCATGTCTCAAATTGGATTGCGGTGTTTACTTTGATGATGTCTGCGGGCTACACTTAGTCGCTAAGTCGCGAGCAGTCGACTTTTGTCTGAGGACTCATTCATGCTAATTCCTCAGCCTTCGGTATATTATGACGTTATGTTTTTATTTTTTATTGCTTACATGGGTGGACGAGCTCACAGCCCACTTGCTGTTAAGTGGTTACTGGAGCCCATGGACATCTACAACGTAAAGGTGCCACCCACTTTGAGATATCAGTTGTAAGGTCTCAAGTGTAGTTACAATGGCTGCCCTGTCCTTCAAACCGAAACGCATTACTGCTTCACAGCAGAAATAGGCAAGGTGGTGGTGCCTATCCGCGCGGACTCACAAGACGTCCTACCACCATGTCATGCTTGTTTGTTCCAGGCCAGCTGGAAGACCTTAGGTAGATTTGTTCTGCAGGAGAAAGGTTCGTCGGCTCCTTTGCCGAGACACCGCGCGGCCATCGCTAGAATCCAAAGGGGACTTAGCATCACAAAAGGCGCTTTTACTGGTAGGATCTATGGAATGAGCTCCCCTCCACAGTGTATCCCGAGCGCTATGACATGTCCGTCTTCAAACGAGGCTCGTGGAGAGTACTTAACGGTAGGCAGCGGCTTGGCTCTGTCCCTGGCATTGCTGAAGTCCATGGGCGACGGTAACCTCTCACCATCAGGTGGGCCGTATGCTCGTCTGCCTACAAGGGCAATAAAAAATAATAATATCGAACTGCCCTCCGCGGTGTTCCATGAGCGATATTACAGGTCTTTCTTCGAACGAGGTTTGAGGGGATTACTCGGGGATGGTCATTTACTGAGACTTTTTCAGTGGACTCTTTGGAGGATCCCGAGAAGTTACGTTCAGCAGCTGTGTTTCATTTTCCCACTTTCATAGATACACAATTAAACAGTTAATAAACCACCGTTATTACGTATTTAAAATTGAAGAAACATTAAATAGACAAAATAAAACAAATCATACAACTTCACTCCTCGCGTTCCCACCAAAAATCTCAAACGTCTAGATGTCATCTTTCTGTCAAATCATTTTTTTTTAGTTCAAGCAACAAGCAAACGGTTTTTCATTCGCGAACTCCTCGCGGAGCAAAAGGCCGATAGCTCATCCCTACAGACCAAGCCTGAAATTTCTTAACTGGTTTGACTGTCAAAACTTCTTGCTTGGCAGATTAGAATTGGCTAGTGAACTCAGTGATGCGAAAATTAAGTCCGATTCTTCATCCCGCCCGCCGCCACTTGCAGAGTTATTAAAAGACATAAATACTTACAAATCGATATATATATATATATAAATATATTAAAAATAGTATAAAAACAATTTAATATTAAAATGAAGTGATAGTGCGGTTTTCATTAAAATGAAAATAAGACTTGACCTAAAGGTCTTAGTTACCAGGTCATAAAATCCCTTTAAAAAACAAAACCTTAACCGGTCTACAGGTAATGCTGGCTTCCCGATCGGCAGTTTCGGGTCCTCGGAGACGCCCGAAGGCAAAACTCCAGTTCAAACGGCCTATAGCGACCCCACGCACTGCAGGTAAGGTCCTTAATGACTGAATACCGGCGCAATTCCGTTCACCTTTTGACGGACTTCAAAAAAGCAAGAGACCGTATCCTTTTTAGGCGACTTCAAAAAAGGATGAGGATCTCAATTCGAATGTTTTTTTAGGTGAAGCTATTTTTATTCAAAAGCTATTGCTTCTCGTGTGGTCCTGTTTCAATTGCAAACAAGGGTTCGACCAGATCTTATTACTGGTGTTAGGACGCTTGTGAGTCCGCACGGGTAGGTACCACCACCTTGCCTATTTCTGCCGTGAAGCAGTAATGCGTTGCGGTTTGAAGGGCGGGGCAGCCGTTGTAACTATACTGAGAGCTTAAAACTTATATCTCAAAGTGGGTGGTGCATTTACGTTTCAGATGTCTATGGGCTCCAGTAACCACTTAAAATCAGATGGGCTGTGAGCTCATCCACCCATATAAGCATTAAAAAAAAATGTCACGATTTTCAGGAGATTATCAACAGCTCCTCTGGGGAAAGGGATAGAGCGAGCCAAGGGGCACTCGGATAAGGACTTCAGGACCTACATGCAAAGAAGGCAGGGCTGCAGAGAGGTACGTGTTTTTTTTTCTTCTTGTTTTGGCAATAGCGTTTACTTTTTGCCAATGACGAGGTACGTAGTTGCAGTACGTGTTGTAGTACGCAGTTAGTTAGTTGTAGTATGCAGTAGTTGTAGTACGCAGTTATGTCGGTACTAGTAACGCCATCTATCGCTCGAGGGTAAAAACGGATATCGAAACAACTGAGACATTCTCGAATGTTCCAGTTAATTCGCGACTGTTCTTGACATAGACAAGCCTAGACTAGGGAATGTTCCAGAAAATCGTAGGCAAACGTCGAAACGACTGTAATCGCGTGACTTAGGCTGGTGGTAGGACCTCTTGTGAGTCCGCACGGGTAGGAAACCACCACCCCGCCTATTTCTGCGGTGAAGCAGTAATGTGTTTCGGCTTGAAGGGCGAGGCAGCCGTTGTAACTATACTGAGACCTTAGAAGTTACATCTCAATGTGGCTGGCAGATTTACGTTGTAGATGTCTAAGGGCTCCAGTAACTACTTAACACCAGGTGTGCTGTGAGCTCATCCACCCATCAAAGTCATAAAAAAAGAAGGTAAAACTGTTAATCAATTTCCAGGTGCACTCCGAAGGCGAGACCGGTGGATCCCTGGGAGCTGAAGCGTTGGCCGCCCAGGTGGCTCGCTTCAAGAGAGTCTCTTTACGGAAGCTCAGGGCTTGGCGCTCCTGAGTGTGGCAGGTAAAGGGCATAACATGACAATTGTTTGTCGACTTGTCCACTTTTTCTGATGATGCACATTTAAATTTAGGTTCTCCGCCGACTAGGGAACAGTCTGGCGAACCATCGTGCGTCCCTTTCATCTGAGCTAGGCTCCTTATGGGATTTCTTCAAGATAGAGCGCGACAGGCGGAGATCCGCGACGACCACAACGTACGAACCGATTCTGACCGAGTCTAAATCACCAGTTAAACTGGCCAGAGATTTGCTCCAAGTCATTCAGGAAACGGTATTCACTAAGAAGGATGATGAACCGAAGCGATGTCCTCTGGTCAAAGAGGAATCAGACCTCAGCTCCGAGGAGGACGAAGGAACCGACAGCAGAATAGCAAACCTAATTGATTTCTTCTTCACGATCGTCAAGAGTCAGAAGGAAGACCGCAAAGGCTCCGGAGGTAGTTGCTTCAAATCCGAAGCCAGTCCGGACGAGGCCAGAGAATTACCCAAGAAAGTCAACAGGGAACTTGAAGAGAAAATGGACACTCTAATGGAATTCCTCGCAACGACCGGTTGCATGAACAAAGAAGACCAGACTCAGAAAGAAGGGAAGAAGATAACTCTGATGGAGTTCCTCTTCGGCGTAGAAGAACGCAAGATGGAGATCGTTGAACCTAAAAGCCTTAGTCTGTCCGAATCAAACGTTAATGTGAAGCTGTGTTACATAGACGAAACTCCGACCGAAGATGGAACGGAATCTCTTGTCGAGATCCTCCTGAAATACATGGAGGATTACAAAAAGGAGGATAACACAAAATCGATGTCCGTCACTCCCTCTCTATCGGAGAAAAGCAAGTCCGACGTGACGATCAGCAAATTGGAGACCTTTAGCGACATCAGCAAGACCAAATCGGATTCAACGCTGACCCACACCCAGGAGACGGTGGTCGATCGCGGAGACGAGAACCCGCAGGGACCTCAAGCCGGGAGGCGGATATCTGAAGCTAATATAGACTTGAGCTACGTTAAACAGGATCTGGAAGAGATTATAAATGAGGCTCTTAACAGAGTAGAACAGTTGACGGTTAATCATGATGATACGATGTCTGAACAAGAAGACTTCGAGAATTACAACGCTTACACGAAACCGCCGCAGTATTTCCAGTATTTCCCTTACAGCATCGAGCTATCAGATATACTAGAGGAAGATGAGCTCTCGTATAGAGAACAGGAGTCCGACTCTTTTGTCGCGAGGAGACTAGCGGAAGAACTCCTGAACTACATCGAAGCGAAAGTGGAACGGCATTTCGATGATTCCGAATTCGATTTGAGTCCGGTCAAGCGTTCGTCGAGCCTCATAGACTTGAGGTCGATTCCGGATCTGCCGCCGAGCATGATCATCAAGCCGAGGGTCGCGAGAATGGATCGATCGACTTCAACCACGGAGATTTCCGATTCGAATTCCGATTTGTCCAGGAGGATGGACTCCGGTTGTATGACCGAAGACACTACCCTGAGTTCAAGTTCGGAGAGAAATGAGAGGGCTCTTGATAAATTAGAGTCATTGCAAAAGTTCTTCTCCAAATCTAGACTAGAAATCATTGATGAAAGCGATGAGCACCTCGATAAAGCCAAGTCCAGGAGGCGTTCAGAGGTTAAAAGCGCAGACCTGAATGTAGACCAATCAAGTTTAGACGACGTGGAAGATTTGCAAGCGGATAATGAATCGAAAGATAAAGACCAAAAGAAAGCCAATAACATAGACATCGCGGAAGATATCAGAACTGAAAAAGCAATGGAGACGTGCGAAAAATAACGTAGCTTCTAAAAATATTTCTGTCCTTTTCTGGAGTTCTATTTGTAAATAAGAGTAAAAGAGACGGCATATTGAATGTTAGTAATTAAGAATTCAAATTTTGGTTCAGATGAGGTTACGCGCGCGGCCAATATTTGCCAAATATCAAATTTTTTTAATCAGTGATTTTTTTGTATATAGTTAGAGTAATCCCCCCAATAACACGGTATACTAGTTCCGCGTTATAAGATACGCGTTGTAGGAGTATTCTCGTATAACGCATTGTATGAATCCATATAACGCGTTATGTACAAATGTGGTGGTAGGACCTCTTGTGAGTCCGCGCGGGTAGGTACCACCACCCTGCCTATTTCTGCAGTAATGCGTTTCTGTTTTTAAGGGTGGTGCAGCCGTTGTAACTATACTGAGACCTTAGAACTCATATCTCAAGGTGGGTGGCGCATTTACGTTGTTGATATCCATGGGCTCCAGTAACCACTTAACACCAGGTGGGCTGTGAGCTCGTCCACCCATCTAAGCAATACAAAAGAAAATGTAATACAATATAACTAATATTTTTAAAATAAAATAAAAACTCAAAACAAAATTTAATAAATTAAGGTAATTTCAATTTTACAACACAATTGACACAATGTGCAAGGCACATACGTGAAATTAATTATGAAGTGTACAAATCATTAATAATTTAATAACGTGAGCATTGTGAATATAACGTGTGAAATCCCCGCGTTATACAGGGGAATACCCGTGTTATACCATGGACTTAAATCGCGTAATATGAAAACGCGTTATAAGCGTACCGTGTTATAAGGAGGATAACTGTATATCGAGGGGTGAAAGGGTGGTTAAAGCGACAATTCAGCAACTTTACATATCCTTCTTCCATTCATAGCTATGACATATCATTCTTCAAACGAGGCTTGTGGAAAGTATTATACTTAACGGTAGGCAGCGACTTGGCTCTGCCCCTGGCATTGCTGAAGTCCATGGGCGACGGTAGCCACTCTCCATCAGGTGGGTCGTAACCTCGTCTGCCTTACAAGGGCAATAAAAAAGAGAGCCATTTACAGTTTAAAATTTGGATAAAATAACATAACAAAAAACTTAAACATAATTAAAGTTCAATTAAAAACATCGAACTGTTGATGCTAGTAACAAATAAAACCTTAAAGGCTTCGTCAAACAGAACGCGTAATTAGCGCGCGTCAGAGCGCTAAACTGACGCCGCACTATGACGCCGAGATGTGTTGTAGGTACTACTATGGTAATATACCGTAAAACAGAGCCCCAGCGCTATAAGTACACAACGCTCTGTCGCGGCATTAGGATGCTTTGACGTCAGGCGTTGTCATTTTTTACAAATTTTATTTTAGCGTCCGAGTAAATGTGTATTAAAATACTAGATAATGCCCGAAAAATTGATAGAAATAGTTAGAAAATACCCATGCTTATACAATGCCACATCTGAATCACTCGACATCTTAATACTTTTAAATTTTCACACTGCTATCGAAAGGCACTATGATTTGGCGAATGCGTTGCGTCAAGGAGCGTTGGACTCATCTAGTCAATTTGTGTGACATGAAAAGAGCGCGCCGTTAAAACGCAGCGCTAAGTACGCGTTCTGTTTGACGAAGCCTTTAATTGCAAACATAAACGACGCGTCTTAAGCGAAATGGCGCTTAAACCCCTATACCCCATACATTTTATATATCACACCCCCATATCGCAACATATCGCATTTAAAAATTACATTAGATTATTCGTTGCAAAATCGACATATTAATATCAGTTAATTACGAATTTAAACATTGATATTGTTCGTTAAACGATTTCAAAGCTAATAAAATAATTAATAATGAGACTCTGGTACGTGAGTGAAGTCTTGAGAGGTATTAAAAAAATTGGAGGGTAGATGTAAGTAGCTCCATCTTATTTAAAGGACGAGTTGATCAAGTGTCCGTCTGTAAACAGCTCGTTGTTATTGGAAGACTCGCCGACATAGCGCTAGTGTAGGCAAGGGAAAGATATAATAATATGAATATAACAGTTTTCAACCGAGTCAAGTGTGCCGGGTTAAAAATGTAATATATTTCGTGACTTGTGTGGTTAAAAAAAAAATGTGAGCCGTCACGGGACGCCCGACAGATGTGAAACATCGACATTATTTTGTAAAAGTAATATGCAGAAAAGAACAGATTGTGATAGGAACTAAATATGTCATAATGATAAAATAAAATATTACGAAAAAATTATTTGTTTTCAAGTAAAACACAGGTTATATGTACTGTAGTAAACAACACTGTATACACTACGGAGTATACACTATAGGTATCCGAGCTCAGTGTAGCGAGAGAGATGGCTTAACGCCGGATCGAGTGGGAGAGAATCGCACAGTCGATTGCGCATGGCGACGCGTGGCCACGGCATGCGTCGCCACGCTAGAAATCTGTTTTACGTGGGGCTATAGATGTTTCACAACAAGAATATAAAAAGCATATTTAAAATCTAAACTATTTATTTTAATTACTATTTACGTAGCAAGTGTTCCTTTCCTTTGTTAATATAGTATCCTACTCTAATTACTTATGGCGCTGTTTTTAAAATCTCTCCACTTGCTATCCTGGCGCCATATTAATTAACTTTTTTTCAGCGGACACTTTTTAATACACTGAGCTGGTACTCCTTACTTCTACCCTCCATACAATTTATTAGACTATAAATACATACCGTATGTATGTAATCAAAATAAAAATACTGTCACAATGTCAAGTAGTTGTCATTTAACAAGTAATTCTATTTTTTCCAACTGTAAAGGCAAATATATCATACCATACTGCCCAATCTTTTATATTCTTTTTTTATGAAAAATGATATGGAGCGAAATAAAATTAAGTTGATTAATTTGAAACATTACTCAATTAGTGAAATTAAATGGGATGGACTATAATCTCAGTAAAATGGTGGTTATTTATTGAGACTTTCTCAGTGTAATTTTTGGAGGATTCCGAGAATTCATTTCATTTCATTTCAGTCCATATTATCGTTTTTCATAAAAATAAGAATGTAAATTAAAATAAGACATGACCTAAAGGTCTTAGTTACCGGGGTCATAAAATCCCTTAAAAAAGAAGTTATAATCTTTGGAACTGAGTTTTATTGTGTAGGCAAGCTACCTTATTTCCTGAAGACGACTACAATTTGTCGAGCCAGCATTAATTAAATGTTTGTTATAAAATTAAATGTTTTATTCAATTAATTGGCCTAGCACCCGATCTAGGTTTTATTTAAGATTCAATGTTGTATTATTCAGATTCTATGAAGGTAATTAATTATTTATATGAACAATTCTAGTGAGATTTTTAATGTGTATAATAATATTACTGATAAGA